TGTAGCGAGCAACTTCGGAGAGTGATCCCGGCGTGCTGAGATGTTTAACCCTATGTATCGAGCTCCAGAAATACCAGCAACACGTGGACCGCCGTTTTCTCCTCCCCCATACATGCCCTGCACAGGGGATCTGCAACACCTATAGTAAATAAACGTTTGTTAAGGGAGCCATGTCCCGTAATAGCATCTGTTGCCACCCTGATTCGTGTGTTGTTCAATCTCATTAAGACCCAAGTTAAACTACCGCTTATTTCCGGCAGGGGCTCGCCAGCCTACCTACAGTCCACTAGATTTTTCCAAAACTGAGCACGTTGATTAGTAAAGTTTTTTATGTACCAGTGATCGACCGTTACCAAAAGGGATCGGTATGATCGGTTCTGGCCCTATAACCGCCATAGCCGATCCTCTCCAGGCCAGTTCGTCTGCTGCGTCGTTGCCACTGGATTCACTTTGTCCCTTGATCCATTGCAAAGTCACATTATTGTGTTTATTCCGGTTTAGTTTACTGTTCAAGGTATGACTTAAGTATTTTACCTCAGAGGAGTTTTGTGCTGAAAAGACTCGACAAATGATAGTTATTCTATATTCGTTTTTGTGTGAACATTACTAGAAACCACCAACTCTCAACTATATGGAGAGCCGCTAGAGTCAGGTCGTCCACTATGCTTGCTGTTTTCCCCGAGACCAGTATTGTTAGGTCATTTACATAACCAATTATATAGAAGTGATTGGCATTTAATTTGCTAATTAATTCATTTATGACCATATTCCACGGGAGAGGTGAAAGAACGTTACCCTGCGGGCTGCCTTTCATTTTTTGGACTGCATGAGATTCACCAGCAATCTTTATTGTTCGTGAAATAAGCATGTTTACTATGGAGTCAATCACTGCCGGTTCAACTCTATGTCTACTTAGTGCAACATTTATGCTGGCGCCCGATTATTCTTTTAAGCGATTGTTAATGCCGTTAACAAATCAAATTGTGCAATAATTTTACTACATTATATCATCCCTCTAGATCCGAGTTTGATCGTTTGGATTAAAATGCAAAAGTACGCAACTTTTGAATTTTTACTTACGGTTGACATTTGCGCCATTGCTAATACTTGTGATAAAATGCCTCATTTATATCCATATATATAATTATATATGTACCTATGCAAACATCTTCGTTGGTTCAGAGTACTCTAGAAAACGTACGTACGTAACGTACTTTGCATAATAATAATTACGAAGTAATAACTCATTTGGTCACTCTTTCCGCCAAGTTTTTCCGAAAAAATCATTATGTATATATAGTGTGCCAAGACACAGAGAAATCACTTAAGTTATCTATTTGATTAAACGCAGTGATCGCATTGCCGCAATGGCTAACAAAAACAAAAAAAAAAAAACAACAAACTAAAAACAAGCCCATACCTTTATCACTTCTTGTAATACGTTCTACTGTAGAGCCGATGACTATCAGGTAGTTTCATGTCGATCAACAGTAGTCTCTACGAGACAAAGGCCTTCCACCACACCAACAGATGTACATCAATCCTAAATGACTTACAAGTAAATAGCAGTTACAAAACTACGCACCAATGTGAGCAATGCGACCAAATAGTATCAAAAAGTGACTAACAGTATGAATGCTTAGAAATACCTCCGGCAACTTCTTCAATACTTAATTCGACTTCAACTAGTTCAATGCAAAGGAAACTTTACTTATTTTGAATAAAACTATTATTTACGGATTTTATCGCGTTTAATTATTTTAATTTATTTTTATTATTATCCCGACGTTTCGGGTGCTTTACAGCGCCCATGGTAACGGGGGGGACTAAGATGTTTGACGTCCCAATGTCATAGTTAGTCCGGCTACCTTCAGTTTTTTAATATTAAATTTTGGTCCGATTTACGCAAACTTTTACTTATTTTCATAAAATAAAATGTCAGAGAGACATAACCTTTTTAATCATACGTTATACAAAAAATTTGTACTACACTTCATTTTATTTTTAAAAGCACTCATCTCTCTCTTTGTTCAGTTATCCCCGCCACATCTCAACCACGACTAAACTAGAACTCTACCAACACAACCCGCGTACTGCACCCACTCTTTGAGCTGCGGCTACGCACAAACTACTAAGAAGATACTGCGCATCGGCTACGGTATGACTGTTGACATAGTCAAAACACACAATAAAATGAAGTCATCAACTCTATAGTTTAACAGGGTCATTATTCACCCTAATAGACTCAGGTCAGTCAATTGAATTAAGCTAGGCTTTCAGGCATTTCTCTTAACCAATTCAAAAGTTAACCACAGATTACTAGAAAATGTTTTCGATAGAGAAAAGGTTGTTGCCCTAAAATCACATTCAATTCGGGATAATGTCAAATAAAAGTAGAAGCCTTATTTACCCGTATTTTCAAAAACTGCAATATTATATATTTGTACTTAAGTTTAAAATTTGGCTACTCTTTGAAAGATAACCTTGTAGTACGAGTATATACAAGGCTCTCTATGTCCTTTATACCAGAACAAAGCAGTGTACACGGAAAGGTACTACTCCCACCTTCTCAGATGCTCACCTAGACAGGTAAGTAGTCCTAATACCAAGTAAATTTATCTGAGTTTATTTTCATTAAAATGATTAGTTAAGTTAGACTAATAAATTCTAATAATGATGTTCTCTTTATTACATTACCTCAGCTAAAATAAAAAAAAATTCTGCTAGTGTAGATAAACATTATACTATTATTACTGTAATATAATGGGTACATGCAAAAATCGTGGCGCTTCTTTGGCTCACTCATCATCCGAATCATAATAATATCCTAGTAACTTGCATACACGTCTGTGAACAGCACTGGTATCCTTTTAGAATTTTAGATTATGCATGTATGTGCACTTAATTTATCTGCTTCACCAACTGTGCACTCATTTGAGTGTAAAAAGCATTGTCTTCCCTCAAGGATGCGCAATAATCGGTTAAAATTTACACTTTAATACAATCAAATCATGTTTTAAAGCCAAATAAAGCCTAAAAATAAAATATTGTTTGACAAATTAAATTCACATTCTTTTCTTCTCAAAATATGATCCTATAATTTCTTGACGGACCAAACAACTAAGTTAGACGTAAGTAGGATAGAATACACAATATAATTCATACATTGATATAAATGCCGCAGTAAAAGTTACAGCCTATATACGTCCCACTGCTGGGCACAGGCCACCTCTCATTTCTGAGAGGATTTTTTAGGGCAAGGAAGTGTCCTCCGCGCTGCCCCAATGCGTGTTGGCGAACTTCACATGCGTTCGAAATATTTTTTTTCTTATTCCTCAGACATGCAGGTTTCCTCACGATGTTTTCCTTCACCGCCGAGCATGTGGTAAATAAGCACTTAAAATTGCAATTAACAATTTCATTGGTTCCGGCGAGGATCTAACCCAGGTTACTCGCGTTCTGTTATATTTACAGCGAGCGTTAACCACATGAGCTACAAATGACGCAGTAGTATAATGAATTTTTATCTCCCGATTTTCGTTACGTTTAAAAACATCTCAACGTGTAGTATTCAATGTACATACAAGTGCCACAGAGTAAAGGAGCAAGTGCGCCAGTAGTGATTAACGGCACGAAGCGAAGGAAGCTACGACTTACCTCGGATATTACAAAGAGGATGCGCTGCGACGTATGACATTGAGCACCAATCACGTGGAGACGAGCTAAATGATTAATTTAACTAACAATGCGCATTTTGTTGGATACCTAAGTTTACATACGTCTTTTAAAAAAATACACCTACTAAGTTTAAACATCGGCAGTCGGCTTTACCTAGTTGTATCCTGCTAAGCCTACATCTGCATCCGTACTTTATAGACATTGTAAAATCATTTATAATAATGTTCTCTAGAACGAATTTTGGTCACGGCGGCCCGTCTCAACGTAAACTTTTTACACGTTATAGAGCTACGCTGCAGCTATATTGTGGTTGCAGCACGAATGGGTCGGCTCGACCGGGGCAGGACCACGCTCTCACAGAATACAAGCGTAAAATATACTGTTATGTTTCGAACGAGACATTCCATCGTGGTCCTCACGGGTGGCAACGCATCTGCATTTTGATTCTTAGTCGAGGACGGATATGTATGTCTATGGGTCACAGCGACCACTTACCATCAGGTGGACTGTGTGCTCGTTTGTCATCCTATCCTATAAAACAAGTTTTTCGACTAATCGAAGGTTTTGTTGAGTTACTGCGGTTGGTGGCCAACTTCCTTACTTTAACTGATTTTTTGGCCTGTTTCGAATTCATTTCACCAAATAATAAGTGTTGCTCGTTTACAAACAGAATCGCTAAATATAGTCGCCAAAAGTTCAAAACACTGAGGCTTTAAACCAGGGGTTCTTAACTTTTTAGGGATGGGTTTTTAGTATGGATACCTTTTTCGTATCTCCTTAATTTCAGAGCACATCTCTTGCTGCGTCAGCCAGCATAGGAATCACTGGAGTTTATATACCGTACCGTGTGTGACATTCAGTGATTCTTTTAGTACCGAGGGTTCGAGAAGGGAAAAGTAAATTTGCTTCTGGAAAGCTTGGCGTGCTTTGTAGCCTGGCGTATTTCATGCCAGCGCACCGCTTGATATTATACAAGTTTTAAAAGAAGTGAATGATTCACTACTACAAACTACGTAATTTTTTCTACCTTTTAGTTAAAACAAAGAGTATATATTTGATAATAAATATAATATTATATTTTGGTTTGTAAGTTTTATATGAGTTTTGTAAGCTTTGTTGATAAGACGTTATGCTCAAAGAGAATATAATCACTACCTTTAGTTATGCACTTTGTTGTTCAGTTTCTATGGCAACCGTTACTATAAGATACTGAATAATATTTTCAGTTGGTAATTTATATAACAAGTTAATTAATCGTCGATTAACTGTATTTAAGATACTCTTTTGTATTAGGAAAACATTAAAGAATCTGCCAAAGCGTAATGGCAATTAATACGCCACCAAATATTTCTGCTCGCATCTTTTATGGACTTCGAACAGATATTCAGTAAGTAAATGTATGCTATTATATTCAGTCATGTTTGAAGGTGTGGCTTTAATTAAAGTTTTCGTATTAATATTATTTATACACCTACTTAGATATTATCATATTTATTTTACGAGTTCACATAGTATCCGTATCCGTATTTAGTCAGTTAAATACAAATGTAAATATGAAAACAAAAGATTTATCGCTTAACGCCTTTTTTACACACCTATATATTACTAAAGCGATTTCCACTAGAAAATGTTGAATATTTTTATTATTAAATTAGTATGTAGTAAAACAAGTAAATTTAGTACCTAAGATCCTATTTAAGATAAAACAATAGTTGAAACAAACAGAGGCGGATTAAATGCCGACAGCGCCCTAGGCTAGCACTACATCGGCGCATGTTATAATTTCCAATATAGTTCAGTGGGAAAAACATGAAAGCGGTGTTAAATTAAAATATGCTCCTGGAGGGTACCTAGCATCGATAATGCTGGAGAATCCCTCACTCTGAATCCACGCCTAACCCCTCGTCTGTCCAAACGCCATTCTTTCATTCTGGCGTCTCAAATATTATGCGTATCTGTTAAACGCCATAATATGGCGTCGAGTGATAGCAAACTATTTGTCACATATACATGATATATATATATATATATATATATATATATATATATATATATATATATGTATATATATATATATATATGTATATATATATATATATATATATATATATATATATATATATATATATATATCTGTTATGCATACATTGTTATATGATTTTAATATATTTACTTTTTTTAAAGAATATTAACAATGCTACAAACATTATTAATATTCCTCTTAACCACTCGTGGTAAGCTTAAATTGCTTGTGTTACAAGTGGTTCACGCCAGTAGTCGAATGGCGGATTCGAACCCACGAACTTTTTGAGTTGCACCATGTAGTCTGAGTGAGGGGAGGAGGGGCACAATTCCGCTCTTTACACATTCTACACGAAGCAAACGGAGTAAAATGCAATGCACGGTCGCTGATGGTCCGACACAACTGATTCACTTCGCCCACGCGGTTTCCACATTCATAGACCCTATGCAGTCGAAACCCGGGGCTGTACGCTATTTTTAAAATAAATACTTTTAGTCCTCGAATATAAGATAAAAATCATCGGCTCATTATCATGAAGCACGACTCTCTGTTGCTAATATGATGATTAATTGTTTCCAGTGTCGGATTATCCTAAGGGCAAACTAGGCACGAGCCTAGTGGCGCAAGGCTACAAAGGGGCGCGCGGTGAATTAAATTCTACAGTATGGTCGTGCGAGGCAGAAAATTCCGCGTGAATCGTACAGTAGTAAACCGCCAGCCATCGAGGTGATGAGGATAGAATTTCGAATTCTGTTGCAGTGTAAGAGGGTGGAATTCAGCAGCTTGAGTTAATCAAAGGCCAGTGAATCAAGCCCATCTGAAAGATCTTTGTCGCCAATAATTTGGGCCGCTTTACGTTGAATTCGGTATACAGTATGTCTCTCGAAATATAGACGACAAGGATTTCGAATTCCGATGCTGCGGCAACGTGAGTAGTACCCTGAAATTCAGCAGATACGACAAAGGGATTCTTTTTTGCTATAAACCTGTGTCTTTTGGGGGTTAAACTAGACTAGATTTAGAAAGACTCGATTTCAGACATAAGTTTGTACCGGCATACGATGCTCAGTGCTGTCATTTACATAACAATGAATGTTAGGTATGCAACATATTATTGATATGCAGAAGAAACAGGGTAGGCGATATCACGCAACCTTGTGGAGCACCAGCATTCACATGCTTGGAGTCGAAGTACGCACCGTCGACTACGACCTTAATACTCCGATCTGTAAGAAAACTAGTGACCCAATTGCATAATTTCTCGGGAAGCCCATAAAAGGGAAGTCGCTATGTCCAAATTAACCGCCAAGACTTTCCACTTGGTCTCGACTGCCTCCGCCCATCGTTGAGTCAGGTAGAAAAGACGATCACCAGCTGAGCGACCACGATTGAGTATTGAAGGTCACTAATCAGTTGTTGCTCTTCAAGGTACTAATAGTAATAATGGAATCCATTATTTTGGAGAACAAGGTGGTGATGGCGATTGGCCTGTAGTTGGACGGGTCTACTTTTTTAGGGATCGGGTGCACTAAGACTATGCTCCATGAGCTTAAAACGATGCTTAAAGAGTAAGACAACTGGAAGACGCGTAAGAACCGGTGCTCACCGTGAAACAGCATCTTCAGCACAAATGGCCTTTGATTAACTCAAACTGCTGAATTCCACCCTCTTACACTGCAACAGAATTCTAAATTCCATCCGGTTTACTACTGTACGATTCACGCGGAATTTTCTGCCTCGCACGACCATACTGTAGAATTTAATTCACCGCGCGCCCCTTTGTAGCCTTGCGCCACTGGGCTCGTGCCTAGTTTGCCCTTAGGATAATCCGACACTGGAAACAATTAATCATCATATTAGCAACAGAGAGTCGTGCTTCATGATAATGAGCCGATGATTTTTATCTTATATTCGAGGACTAAAAGTATTTATTTTAAAAATAGCGTACAGCCCCGGGTTTCGACTGCATAGGGTCTATGAATGTGGCGTTCAAAAAAATCGAAGAATACTGGTTATATCAATTCTTCGTATTTTTTTAATTTTTAAGTTGATCTTGAATCTGTTCGAAAGATTTCATCATAATCCACACAGAGCAGGAACATGCACAGTCTACTCTGAAGATTAACCCAGACAGATAGACAAATAAAAAAAATGGTTATTTAAGTTTTAATATCATGCAAGTAACCTCTAGAGCTTTATATAAGCCCGTTAATGCAATATTACATACAAAAATATCAATTTTATTTATATATTGATAATACATCAAAAGACAAAAATTCTATATAAAAATCGCTGAACTTCTTCGCAGAGGATCGCTTGCTAATACGTAGTCACTTTCAGAATTAGTGCTCACTATCGCGTTCCCGTTCTTCCGGTCACCGACGCACGCTTTTTAGTAGACTATTCTAGGTCAAACCGGTTAATAATTCAAAGTTGCACTCTTTCAATGCAAAACTTCAAGAAATTACTACGAGATAATAGATCGAAACGAAAAAAGTCTGTCTATATTTTTATACAAGATTGGGTCTTGCTTGCAGGTTACTGTTCTTATTAGTGTAGTTTTTGATCGATTTAGATTTCGATAGATTGGATTGATTAACACAAATATGTATTGAAACTTATAACGATAATATGAATCTTTTCAATAGGCACATATGCCAGGTTTTCCTTTACAACCACATACCATCACCCATTTGAAAAAATACATCTGAATAAATAATATATAATATGGTGCTAAAATTATATTAGCTTTTATACGTGGTAGAGCTATGCTGTAGTCATATTAGTAGTATGTATATTTGTAGCACGAATGGGTCCGCTCGGCTCAACCGGGAAGGACCATGCTCTCACAGAATACCAGCGTAAAATAGTAGCTTAATGCTGCTGTGTTTCGTATGGTGGTCTTCGTAAGACCGTAATCTTATTAACTCGCATTAATCCAAATAATTATCCGCATACCCCTTTCTGTCTACGATTGACGACCGCTGTCAAGCGTATATGCTAATTCTCTTTGGTCGCGAGAGAGATATTGTTCTAGGAACTGACTGTCAAAAATTCATCATCATAGATCAGTGCTAATGATGATGAATTTTTATTGTTACACAACTTAATTATACTGTCGAATATTTTAATTTAATATTTTATCTGTAGGTACAATGCTCATTTTTTAAGCGATTCGGAGATCATTTATCCTGCTGGGGGAGTTATTGTAATCCACAATCACCTCCAGAAGAAACAGAAGTTTATCAGACTTCAAGATAAGCATAAACCTATTAAATCACTAGTGCTTGCTCCGAATAGGTAAAACTACTTGTGTACACCATGCAGTACTCTGAAGATGACTAATACAGTGAAGAAACTTATTCATGAATTGAGGCTTATTTCAGACGATGGCTTGCTCTAAACGAAATAGCGGACGAAGGCCAAAAGCCTATCATAACAATTTACGACTTAACCACGTACAAGAGGCGCAAGATTTTAACAGTACCGTTCGAGAATTCAACTGCCAGAGAGTTCGCGTGTGTACAGTTCACGTACGACTCCAAGTATCTCGTGGCGATAACGGGCGAGCCGGACTGGTACTTATATTATTACAATTGGGACAAAGGAAAAGTGGAAAGTCACGCTAAAGCGCAAAATCCTAGCGGTCAAGGAATCGTTGAAAGCGTAATATTCCATATTATATTTATTTTGTTCACACTTACACTTAATGTAGGTCACGTAATGTAACTCGTATACGTAATGTAGTCATTTGATACACCTTTATAAAGATAGCTGAAATTTTAACAATCCACACATCTCGTGTTATAGGAGTTTACTAAAAAATAATGGCTCGAAAACTTCTTGGTTTCAAAAAAAAGATTCTTTATTGTATGTTATATAGGCTCCAGTACTATCAAAATCGTCAGTTTTTGATAGTACTGGATTTTCATTTCCTTTTTCCTGGCAGTCCGTGCAGAATGTTACCACTTTCTTATTATTTCTGAAGTCGAGCTACAGTGCGGCTACTACTGAGTTTCGGTAGTTTGAAGGACGAGAGTCAGTATAATAACAGGCTGTAGGGCTAATCTTAGTATTCAAGGTTCAGGGGTGGCAAGTGGCATCGCATATGTGATCTTCCCTCACTTCCTTTTTATAAACATTGATATGACACACGAACTTACAGTACACCTGATGGTAAGCAGCTACTTCGGCCTATGGACACCTGCAGCTAGCTTCAAATAAATAAGGTGACAGATGTTACCTCTGAGGGTTAAGATGGAATCATGGAGTATAGAGGTAAGGAGGACAATCTCCCATAGGAGAATAGTTGAAAATGTGTCCATCTGTAAGCAGTAAATAACAGTTCAAAAACTCTCCACAACAACGCTCGGGTAGCTACAGGGTATGAAAAATCGCCGTAAAATACGTTGAGAGTGAATACGAAAATAAAAATTTTAAAAACAATAACATAATTATTGTAAAAGAATTATGATGAAAGTCTGTTTAGTAAAAAAATTATAAAAAGTTCTTTAAAATTTACACTGTAGCTACAGTGGCGCCACCCTTATTTAGCGCTTCCTACGGACACTTTTTTATACAGACTCTGTACTCCTTACCTCTACACTCCATAAATGGAATGCCTCGTAGCCTTTGTCTTTCAGACAGGAACACAGCAGTGTATGCTCTGCTATAGTTAAGAGGTTTATACGTGGTAGAGCCATACAGCAGTTATATTAGTAGTATAGTTGTAGCACGAATGGGTCGGCTCGACCGGGGAAGGACCACGCTCTCACAGAATACCAGCGTAATGCTGCTGTGTTTCGTATTGTGTTTGTAGAGAATCGGAGACCCTTTTTACTAGAATTGAGGCATTTCATCATAGTCCTCAGGGGTGACAACACAATAGCATTTTGAATATTAATTAAGAATAAATGTGGATGTCTATGGGCCACAGCATCCACTTACCATCAGATGGACTGTATGGTCGTTTGTCACCCAACGCTATAAAAAGAAACGATAGTTAACAGTCATAGTAGCACTTTCGGTACTTCTGTCATTAGTTTAAATTTTTTAAGCTAAATAGTTTTTCATTCAGGTGCAATGTAATCCTTCGGATGCAACATTAGTCGTGATTACGGGACCGTACACATTCCGTATTATGAATGTATCCGAAACTGTATGGCGTCAATGGGGATGGTGTAAAGCAGAAAATGTAAGTGTATTTGTTTAAGTCATTTACTTTTATCAACCTTTTTTTAAGCCACTACTGGGCATAGGTAACCCTTTTCATGTGCTAGGGGAAATACATTTTTACCTGCTCCACACACTGTAAGACGGGCGGTTGAACTATAATCAGGAATCTGGCTACTAAGTCACCATAGCCCGAGAAATTTCTTGTTTTAGATATATCCACATCGATTTTCCACCATTAGTCGTTAGAGAATGATTAGTCAGTCAGCAGACACTGCGTTCAGGTTCTTTTTTGTTCTATGAATCTATAAAATATTTTAAAGGTATTAAATTAAATCTTTAGTATCGCAGCCGCCTTTGATTTTGCTGCTGACTACCGTAGAACATTAGTAACACCCACATACCACATATAGTTAAAGTGGAATAATTTCCATGTGTCGCAGATCAACATAACCAGTTGCATGTGGCTAACATCTGACCGTATCATGTTCGGCACCGACAACGGTGTCATAATGATAGTTGAGAATGGAGAGCTGCGACATCATTGTGTTTTTCGAGCTGTAGATGTCATGGAAATGTCCCTGAAGAAAGTGGAGACTGAGTGAGTAGAACGAAGGAATTTCCCTTTTTTTCGGTATTAAACTGTGCCAACTAATGTAACGCATTGTTACAATTAAAACGATTTATGCCTATCTGATTATTTAATAATGAACCGAAACGAAACGTATATTATTTGCGTTATGCTTATTTTCATCATCGTGAGCCCCAAAAACAGCAGATTTTACAATAAAAACAAGCCTGGTCAGTGAGTTGATTGAACCATTACCAGACGCCTTGTCCCAGTCAAACTTTTTTATAGAATAAAGATGACTAACGAGCACACAAGTTACCTGTTGGTAAGTGGATGCCGGGGCCCATAGACATCTAAATTTATCCTCGGTTAAGAATAAAAATGCAGATATGTTGTCACCCCTTCGGACTAAGATGGAGTGTCTCGTTTCCAGTAAAAAGGGTCTCCGGTTCTTTTCACTCACCATACGAAACACAGTAGCATTAAGCTGCTATTTTACGCAGATAATCTGTGCGAGGACTTTTCCCGGTCGAGCTAATCCATTCGTGCTACAAACACAATATTGCTGTAGCATAGTTCTACCACGTATAAAATATGAACTTACACTGTTTCATGTCGCTGGTCTGTGTATTTTATATTTGATACATAATAGTTATACCGACATCTGTCATAGTTTAAGAGTTTTCTGATCATTTATAGGTGAACTTGTGATTAATTACATTATAAATAATAGTGATTGCCTTGTGGTAGCGGCGTAGAAATTAGCGTAATCTTATGTACATTTGTACGTGGTATAACCATACGACAGCTTTTTTATAGTTGTAGCACGCATAGGTCAGCTCAACTGGGGAAGGACCATGCTCTCACAGAATACCACGAGAACCGGAGACGATTTTAACTGGAAACGAGGTATTCCATCTTAGTCCTCACGGGTGACAACGCATCTGCATTTTGATTCGTAATCGAGGATAGATGTAATTGTCTATGGAACACAGCATCCACTTAGATACCATCAGGTGGATTGTGTGCCCGTTTGTCACCCTTATCCTATAAAAAAATACTTCTTACCAAGTACTCGGCGGTAAAGTAATAGTGAGGAAATCTGCATACCTGAGGAATAAAATATTCCGAGGAAATATGAATCGATAATATGCACCTGAACAACGCAGCGAACTATGCTTCAAAGCTTCAAAAGTGAACGGAGGCCTGAACCCAGCTGTGTCTTGGATGTTTCCACCGTCTCATCCATTTATGCTGGCGAGCAGCAACGTGTAGGACGGCTCATCACTATATGGAGTGACGACCTAGTAAGACATTTTTTAATAGCTCCAAAAAATTATAAATATGTTACGAAAGGTTAGCCTTAAAATTACTTTAGGACATATGCATCGTAACGTAGAATTGATGTATATCAATACATTATTACATTAATACATTACCACGTGATATATTTATATAAAAGTAGCATGCTACTTTTTACTTCTACTGTATGTGTGTCTGTGGTGTACTGTCGGTGTGATAAGATCTGCTTTCCTTGTGCAATGATTAAAACAAACCCTCCCTTATGCCATGCCAGTTTTATCCATAGGAAATGGTAACATTGATGATCTTCCGGGAAGTCTGCAGTTTGCGATCATATTCTAGATGGCCCCAACCATTACATCAGATTTGATAGACCACAAATCCTCGCGAAAGAACATCGATTCCTACCAAGGATGATACGTGAGGCTATTGAAATTAAAAAAACATCCTAATTTCAATAGAGAAGGAGGCTGGTTACTACCACCTGCTTGGGATACTATAATTAATAAAATTAAAACTAAACCCAAGCATACCACTGCAAGACTTCAAAATACAGTTAGTTCATTCTGCGTAGATCGGACCAAAGACAATAATTAAAAAGCTGAAGGTACTCCGGGTTAACTTTGACATCGGGACGTCAGTCACCTCAGTCCCCCGTGACCATGGGTGCTGGAAAGCACCCGAAACGTCGGGTATTAAAATTAATATAAATAAAACGCGATAAAATCCGTAAAAGTAGTTTTAATCAACGTATAGTGTTCGCGTAAATATAAGAAATCATTATGAAATGGTAACATATTTATTTCTTATGGAAAGTCATGTCCATAAGAAATAAATATGTTACCGAAGATACACTTATATTTACTAACCATCTTTAATTTAATATTGATTACAGGGCCGAAGAAAGTGAGAAGACGAGTACAGCCAGTAAGCCTGATACCACGAGTGATCCAGGACTCCTAGATTCCGAAATCTACCCAGTCACTTGTTTTGTTAATTTTCAGAAAGGTTAAAAAAATTAAATGATGTATATTTTTTATTTCATAATATTCACCAAACTGATTTAGTAAATTTTTGTTTTTCATAAATATGACCATTTACGTATATTAATATAATATATTGTAACCCAAATTGTCAGTAATACTACGTAAGGGACTCGGGACGGGACGGTATGCATCCGGGATACCAGGAAATACTAGCCGGTGTCATTTTATTCGTTTCATTAATTCCTTCATACAGTTCGGCATATCAAAAATCCACTGCTGAGATATTAGACCTCCCCCATAGATTTCCTCTGAGGAATGTCTGATTTCTCTGTGGAATTGTTTACCACCGGCGATTTTTCCGGAACTATACGGCTTAGGGACCTTCAAGAAAAGAGCTTTCTCCTTTTTAAAAGGCCGGCAACGCACTTGCAATTCTTCTAGTGTTGCGGTTGTTCATGGGCGGCGGTAGGCACTTACCATCACGTAAGTCGCGTGCTCGTTTGCCCCCTCTTCTATAAAAAAAATATTTGCCGTAATTGCCACGCTTGGCAGTCGGATTGGCAACCGCCGGTTTTTTATTATTCTGAGTTGTTATAAAGATTTTTTTTTATAAAACTGAAGTGATTAACGAACTTACAGTTCACCTGGTGGTGGCTACTGCAGCTGTGTACACCTGCAACCAATTTCAAACAAACATCGGTTACAGATGCGTTGTCAACCGCAGTTCAGCATACTTTTACAAACGAAACACAGCAGTACAGGACAGCAGCAGAATACATGCTGTTTGGTTACAGAAATAAGTAAGACGGTGGTATTTAGACGGACTCATAGACCAGAAAGGTTTCATACCACTTAGTATGCTGCTAATTATAATTTATTTATTTCATTCATTACAGCCTATACAAATTCCTTATTTTTTATAGTCTTTTGTCCTTGATTTTACCATAATGCCAAGCTTGGTAGGAAATGGCATTGGATGATTTTTTTATAGGATAGGATAACAAACGAGCACACAGTCCACCTGATGGTAAGTGGTTGCTGCGGCCCATAGACATCTACATCTATCGTCGATTACAAATCAAAATGCAAATGCGTTGTCACCCGTGAGGACTAAGATGGATGCCTCGTTTCCAGTAGAAAGGGTCTGATGTGGAGTAGCAGATATAAAAACATATTGTTAAAATAGTATTGAAGAAGGAAACTAGTTGTTTACTGTTTGCATGACAGATGAGGTAAACCGTCATCTGTCATGACGTCACTGAGCATTACCCGCAAGCATTTTAATGGATCGTGGGGACTGAGTTCATATCTATTAAAAAGTTATGAGCGACTATAAAAATAAACAACAACAAAGAAGCAAATTATTTGTTTTTTATTGTAACTGTGTCTGCTTTTTCTTTATAATATGCTTAACACAAAGTGAAGACTAGGTATGTGTATTTAAGTTAACATTTTAGTTTTTGTCGATGTGATGGAATCGTTCAAAATGACAACAAAAATGCATTGGAATTCATCATCATTGAAGTAATATGTACATAAAAAGTTATAATTACAGTTATGGGGCGTAACTGTAATTTTAACTTTTCCTCTCATTTCTGAGGTGGAGGTTGGTCAAGGAAATGTCCGCTGCGCTGGCCCAATGCATGTTGGCGAATTTTACATGTCTTCGAAATATTTTTTTCTTATTTGTTTGATGTTTTTCTCAACTTTCAAGCATATGGTAAATCAGCACTTAAAATTGCAATGAACTGCTCGCGCATTATGAAGTTTCAAGTCCTTGAGATTTCAAAGTCCCTGAGTTTCCAAGACTCTTAATATTAATCAATGTCCACGACTATTAATTCAATGATTAGGGTGTGAAATTCGCTTGCTGTTTTCCTTATAGTGAGTTGTCATTGTCAACCCCATGGACCATGAATACTTGGCGATAAATCAAAACCAAGCAGGCTAGCATTGCGTTTTACTCAGTATATCAATTTGCTTACATTTTCACAAGCATAAAGATTTTCAACCGACTTCAAAAAGGAGGAGGTTCTCATTTTTTATGTGTGTTAGTTACCTCGGAACTTTTTTCTAGTGAACTGATTTTGAGGATTTTTTATTTTCATTTTTATATAATATGGGTGACAATTGACAAACGAGCACACGGTCCACCTAATGGTAAGTGGATGCTGTGGCCTATTTATCATCGATTAAAAATTAAAACGCAGATGCGTTGTCACCCCAGAGGACTAAGATGGAATGCTTTGTTTCTTGCAAAAAAGTGTCTTCGGATCTCTACACTCACCATACGAAACACAGCAGTATTAAGCTGCTATTTTACGCTGGTATTTTGTAAGAGTGTGGTCCTTCCTCGGTCGAGCCAACCCACTCGTGCTACAACCATAATATATCTGCATCGAGGCTCTACCACGTAAAAAATTCTTTTTTATTCAATATCTTTGGTTTCTCTTGTAGTCCTATATAAATTTGACCAAGATCTGACCAGTAGTTTTTGAGCAGTGGCGAAGCTAGAGCTCTAAGCTAGGGCAAGCCCAAGATACAAATTGATAAAAATATAGATTGTTGTTTTTAGCAGTTTTATAAAAATACACCGATCTTGATCTGTCTCCACGCTTCAGTTTCATATTCAGTGCTGTCAAGGACGTGTTTAACAAAGCACACAGAAGGCATACCACTGCTAGATAGATTGTATTACATATCAGCAATTGCATAGCTTCGGTGGCTTTGAAGAAAGCTAAAAAAAAAATACTTACATCCAATAAAATACATGAACAAAAGTAACACACGAACAAAGTAAAAACAAACTATGTACAAAATTAAAAAAAAAAAAACAAATTATTTACATTCTAATGGATAAGAGATAAGATAAGATAAGTGAAATCGTCTCGCTTTCTTATGGAAAGATTTAATTACGTCCACGTAAAATGTTGGTGAACGTTTTAATTGTACCAATAACTGTTTTTAATTGTGATAATTGATAAATCTGAAATAAACTTTTAACCTTGTGTATTATCTCAACAAAGTTTAAAGATTTCTTCTCCGATTATCACTATAACACACTTCAATTCATCACAAGGAACACTATTATCCTCCATTTTCAATAAAAATCTTTAAAAAAGCATAAATTTTGAACTCGTAATATTAAATCGCTTAAGATAAGCACACAGAGTAAATAAACATTGAAACGTGAAATGAACTTGCAAAATGCAAACGTATTGCCCGCGCGCCTCCGCTTTTAACAAATTTATTCCCAAAAGCCTGGCTTTAAATCTCTACACTAATGCTATATATACAATCGTAGTTATATTTCATTATAGAATATTTTGCCATAGGTTAAAAAGAGAGCGATCGTCTTCTCGAAAGCCCCGTAAAAAACACACGCGAGCGAGAGAGACAACTATTAGCTCTATTAAAACTCATTTTTTATGACAGCAGCAGTATCGCTAAGGCAATACGAGGTCATCGGTCGACATGTGTCGAACAGTGGAGTGCGCGGGAAATTTGAAATAACTTGAAACATTTTACGAGTTATTTTATTAGTTGATATTATTGATTGATATTTTATTGATTGATTCAGGTTTAATAAGGCAAACCCGGCTTTTCGGCTTTAATAGAAGCTTCGCCACTGTTTTTGAGGTATCCTTAATAATGCGTATTTAATTAATTTAGACTACATTGATGATGTTCTCATTTTATTTGTATTGAAGTCGGTTGTACAAATTTTTTAAATTTTACCACTTGTGGAAAATCAAGTAAACGCTAACGTTGTTTTAATATTATTTGTATGTAACAGGTTTTGCGTTTTCGTGTGGTCCCGGCTACGTCCACATGTTCGAGAAAGAGACAATCCATCATTGGAGAAAGAGAAACGTCTTCCGAGTTTCCAAGAAGTCTTATAAGTACGTTACACAATGTATGTGCGTAAACAATAACATTTGAACTTGCCACAGCTCCACTTTTTCTGTGCCTGTTAGGGTAGCAAACAAGTATGAGGCTAAACTGATGGTAAGTGATAACCACCGATGAACATCTGCAACACTAAAGAAATCACAAAAGCATTGCCACCTTTCGAGGAAGGTGTAGTCTCTTGAAGGTCTATAAAATCACAAAACGTTTTACCTTCAAATTTTCAAAAAATGACATCACATTCAAAAAAAGAATCAGGAACAGAAATTGCATAGGTACAGATCCACGCGTAACTGTCGGTGTTCTTCCGATATCGTTTAGGAAACACAATACTTTAAATTCTTAATTACTTTTGCTATATCTCTATCGTCATCTAAAGCAAAGGGACGATCAATCGAGATTCGTCTTCAAGCCCTTCCCCTGCTTAAATTTACCAAATAGTTTACTTGCACACTGCTCTTTGATCCTCTGGTGTCTTCAAAATATTGGTGAGGATGTTTTTTCTTTATAAGCTTAATTGTAAGCTATTAATTTATTTAGTTGTATTATATTGTTAACTAGCTTGCCAGGTAGACGTTGTTCTGCATTTTTTGACGACCCTTTGTCATGTCCTATTAAAAATCCTTAAATTCGCAAAAAAAATTGTGGGTCACTCATGGGCAAAAAACTATCCTATCTCTCAAGTTGGACCAAACTGCACACGGTGTGCAAGTTTTATTAAAATCGGTTAAGTAGTTTAGGAGTCCATCGCGGACAAACAACGTGACACGTAATTTATATATATTGAGATTAAAGATTTAAAAGTAATGTTTTGGTCAATCGTTTGACTTCAGACACACAAGAGAAGATCCTATGTGGTCATCTTTGGATGAAATTCAACACATTACAATAGATCCGAACCAGGAAACGTTGCTTATCACTACGTTACGAAAACAATTGTACACCGTCAAGTTGTTTGGGCAACACATGCTGCAGGTAAATATACAATTATGAACTTTTGTATAACGACTCTAACTTTCAAACCTCAATTTCTACAACGGAAAATAATTAAGATCATGCAAACATACACATTTTAGTAAATAAAGAATTAATTGACTAAAATAAACGTGAAGAATTAACAATTTTTTATATTATCATCATATGAATTGTACCGCAGAACCCAGAAATAACATTCAGTGAACTCGGTCCATCGATGCACTATGGTCGTATTAACTCACTTTCAATGTGCGCCTGGAAACCAATATTTATGACATCTGGCGAGGATGATAAGAGTATCCGAATTTGGAATTACATGACGGACGATGTCGAAATGATTAAACTCTACCAGGAAGAGATACACTGTGTGTCACTGCATCCAACTGGCAAGTATTTTTTCAATCCATATAGTATTGTGTATAAAACAAAAGTAGAGCAAAAAGAGCATTTAAACATTTTTATCCTCGACTCCATGTTTTTGAGGTCGGAATGTCAAGTCAGTCAAGGGTATTGTACGTAATGATTTCTATCTAAGTTTTGATTTTATTACTTATTAAAGTAAAACTTCTTCCCGAAAATTCACAAAACATGAACTTTAAAATGAATTTACAAGTGAATAAAATTGTAAATTCATTTTAAAGTTCATGTTTTGTGAATTTTCGGGTAATAACAAATTATGGAAGGAAGCCAATAATAAATTTAAGTATTTGTAGAAAATTAATATATTTATATGTATATACATGTAAATATTATACATATATGCATATATATGTAATATATAGTGTCTAATATATACATACAGATGGAGCTAAGAAGTTTCTACTTCAGTCGACTAATGATACTTTTTGTGTTTGCACGAAATGGCACGAAAATCTTTAACGAAGTCAATAATTTTGCTTGAATTTAATTATTTTAACAACTAAATTGTAAAATTACAATATATATATATATATATATATATATATATATATATATATCAATACCACTGATATATATGGGTAGTAGGACAGTGGGTCCAACTATCACGTAATAGCAGATTTTAGTAGACCACAACTAACCACAGTCACAGTGGGTTGACGAAAGGGAGTAAAATAATTATCTACTAAATATGGAACCCTAAAAATCGGTGAATACTGGCCTGTGCTGTGTCATCATCATTATTCATTATAAATCAAATCAGATATAAATAAGGCATGCTTTTTGTTTTTAAGGTCTATTTGCTATAGTTGGATTCTCCGATAAATTGCGTTATATGGTTGTGCTTATTGATGACTTCGAAGTGATGCGGGAGTTCCCCATACGAAACTGTAAGCGAGTGAAGTTCAGCACTAACGGACACCTGTTTGCCGCTGTAAATGGTCAGGTTATTCAAGTCTTTTCATCTGTATCATTCCAAAATGTTTTCAATTTAAAGGGGCACAATGGAAGGGTAAGGATATTTCAAATTTAACCATAGAATATTATAATACATACATAATAGAACGGGGGAGTGGGCGGAGCCCGTGTAGCCACTAAAATGTCACTAACACATCAGTTCACACGTATAAATGTCAACACGAGATGTGTTTTGACATTACAATCGTTTCCAAATTTCCCACGTAAATTATTTAGAAAACGCCAAATTGCACGCTATTTACAAATAAATATGTATTAAAATCTGTCAGTCAACACAGCGAATCGGGCTTGTGGTAGTGATAATACGACATTATTGCTTGTATGTGTGCTCCCGGCGACGCCTAACGTCGTACAAAATAGGTTGACAGCCATTCTATTGTGTATTATAGTATTCTTTGAATTCAACAAAATAAATATATATTATAACATAATTATTAAGTATACATATTATTGATGCCAATTTAAATTTGTAGGTGACTTGTTTAGCATGGTCAGCTAATGATCTTACCCTAGTATCGTGTGGTACTGAAGGTGCTGTTTACGAATGGAGTATGTCTACCGGACAGCGTGTTGGGGAAGTAATTTTAAAAACGAATCAATTCAATGCTTGCGCTGTCAACAGGTCTGTTAAGTTTCCAAATTATCAAAAATTAAATAAATACAAAATGTCTATAGTACGTGAGGGTAATATGGTCATCCGGTTAATATGGTCATACGGTTAATATGGTCATCCGGTTAATATGGTCATCCGGTTAATATGGTCACTTTCTTATAACTTAAAAACTGCAGCCTAATTTGCATAGAAGGCTTACTTTTGCTGTGTCATCTTGGTCTAAATTAAGTAAATAATCATTTTTATCATCATATTATTATTGTAAATGCTTTCGTCACTTATAACTTAAATCTCAATAGAGCATACTTGTACTAATTTTTATTTTATATAAGTATCATAACCGTATAGTCTTGAATAATGAAACATTTCAGCATCGGCAAAACTACGTACGGAGTTGGTACCGATGGAGAAATTAAAGAAATTGGTTCCAACACAATAAGGAGGAATTTGGCACTGATTGGCTGCGCTTTAGATACAATAGTATTGTCTCGTTCCGACATGATGATTTTTATCACTGGCGGAGAAGGAGGGGTGACGTCCGTGCAGCTTCCACTCTTGGATAAAGCTATTTTTAATGAATTCCACATGCACAACAAGAAAGTTACCGGCATTGCTTTGGCCTATGACGACCAAACACTTGTGTCTGTTGCGGAAGACTCATCCATTTGTCTGTGGCGGCTCACAAATGCAGACGGTAGAGCGATAGCGTTGGACAAAGATTTTGCATATTCGAAAGAAATTTTAATTAGTAAGAAAGATTTGCAAGAGAAAATTAACAGTATAAATGTAAGTTACCAAATCCGCATTATCTTTTTTTTTAGATAACTTTATTGATATATTTATATGTTTTGCAGAGTTGAGTCGCATAAAAATTTTAATAAATTTGTCGTAAACGATTTTTACTTTATACTTAAAAGATTTTTACTTTAAACTTATAATACAAAATTATTATTCATTCTATAAAGTTACTTTCCTTTTTATTACAAAAAGTGGAAAATTTCTTATTACAATGTTACCATCCTAGTTTAACTACCCTTTGTTTTAAGAGTAATACAAAATAAAAGAAAAATTAACATAAATAATATGATTGATTGAGGTTTTAGTATAAAGTTGAAAATGATAAATTGATTGCACATATTATTTAATAGTAGGTATTTTCAATTTTTATACTCCTTTTTCTTTGGAATCCAAATTTTTTACTCTTTGTTTTCTTTGCCTTTCCATTTCAGAATGACTTTAAATTGTTGTATACTCACATTAAATTACAAACTTACTACATATTATACTTAAAAAATATTTATCACCTTGAATCCTTTTTATACGATAACCAATTTAACGAAATTTCACGCATAAGAATTATTCTTTTTCTTTGAAATTAGCATTTATTGGTCGTAAAAAGGATTTACTTCCGCATTGAAACAATGCAAAGAGTAACTTAAATGCTTTTTTGAAAAAATGGGTAACGACGTGCCCAAACGATAAATTGTTATAAGTAAGACCTAAACGAACAGTACCTACTATGTATATATGCCCTAGTTTAAACCGTGGTCTAAAAATAAAACTAACCTTTATAGTACAAGACTGAAGCAGGTACTATTTACCTTGGTTTTTGTAATAAGGTGTTTAGATTATACTACACTAGATGCAGGGGCGGACCGTGAATTTGTCTTCACGGCCTTGGGGGGCCTTGGGCCCCCTTGAGGCCACGGCCTCACGGGGGCCTTGGGCTATCATTACTGGGGGCCACGGAAATCTAAATAATATTGTCTTCTCTTATTATTAAGATTTCTGTGCTTGGAGCCCTTCCAAATTAACTAAATACTAATCAAGTCAAAAACAGTTTTCTATAATACGGTACACAAACAGCAACTGTAGACATTATTGTATAAGAAATTAAAAGGTTATGTTAAAAAAAAACGAAAACCCTCCAAGATGAGAAAAGCACTTTTTTTTTGTAAATAAATTATAAAAACTTCTAGATTTTTGCGCTGCAATTTTCTTTATTTGCTCATCACATTTTTAAATCACAATTTATGGAAAGAACTGATAAATGATTTAGTCGATTTTTCAACATTGTTGACCTCTCTAGGAGTCTGGAAACACGGTAGTGTCCCCGCCAAGATGAGTCCGTCAAACCAAAACGAAGCACTACCTACCTTGTCTCGAAGCGCTTCGTCGTTTTTTGAACCCTCATAAATTGGGTTTGGATTACACCAGGTAAAACAAAATTCTCGGATTGTGATGTCAATAGTAGACTTATTAAACATACAAAGTTTCAATTGCATAGCTCTTATACTTTAGATTTTAATCATATATAAAATGCACCGATTTTATCACCGTATATATATATATATATATATATATATATATATATATATATATATATATATATATACTGCTTCCCGACGTTGTGCTGCCCTTTTCGACGACCCTTTGTCATGTCCTATTAAAAATCCTTAAATTCGGAAAAAAATGTGGGTCATTTATGGGCAAAAAAACTATCCTATCTCTCAAGTTGGGCCAAACTGCACACGGTTTGCAAATTTGATTAAAAGTGGTTTAGGAGTCCATCGCGGACAAACAACGTGACACGTAATTTATATATATTAAGATATATTCTGATCTAAAAAGTTTCCAATTTAACAAAGATATTTTTCTTAATTTATTTTTTATTGGATAAAAAATTTTAAAAATTCATTATTTTTTTATTTTTCTACATAGTCTCCTCATAACTCTACACACTTCTCCCAGCGATGTTCCCATCTCTCTCACTGTCCAAATATTACTCGGCGTTTTTCTCAGCAAAATAATTGTTGCCTCCTCATTTGACAAAAATCTTTTTTTTTTTTATAGGATAGGGTGACAATCGAGCACACAGTCCACCTGATGGTAAGTGGTTGCTGTGGCCCATAGACATCTACATCTATCCTCGATTACGAATCAAAATGCAGATGTGTTGTCACCCGTGAGGACTAAGATGGAATGCCTCGTTTCCAGTAAAATGGGTCGCCGGTTCTCTACACTCACCATACGAAATACAGCAGCATTAAGCTACTATTTCACGCTGGTATTCTGTGAGAGCGTGGTCCTTCCCCGGTCGAGCCGACCCATTCGTGCTACAACTATACATCTAATATAACTGCAGCATGGCTCTACCACAATAAATAATCTCTGTCTTCCGAGCCCATTTTTTAGATAAGGGAACAATAAGAAGTCGCTTGGGGCTAGATCTGGTGAGTAAAGCGGATGGTCAAGCAGTTAAAACCGTAATTCGTGGATTTTCGCCATAGCAACCGCTGAGATATGCGGCAATGCTTTGTCGTAGTAAAACAGGATTTTCTTTTTCTGTAGATGTAGCCGTTTTCTGCAATATATCGATTAAGATAACTTCAGGACTATTCCAAAAATCTGTCGCCATCACTTTCGTAACCGCAAAAACAGTTTTTGCTATTTTGGAGACGGGCCACTTTTTGCAGTCCAGTTTTGACTATATTTTTGTTTCAGGCGTTATAATGGTATGTCCAAGTTTCATCTACATTAATTAAACGGCGCCAAAACTCGGATTTATTGCGCCTAAACTGCGCCAACAGAACATTGGCAATGTTCATTCGAACATCTCTTGACAGCTTTCTCATGCCTAAATCTTGATTTAATATGTGACAAGCACGTTTTGCGTACATTTTCATAGCCTCTGCTATCTCTCTCACTTTAATTCGGTGGTTGTATAGCACTATTTGGTGAACTTTAGCGATGTTATTATCAGTAGTTGCAATTCTGGATGTCCCGAACGTTCGTCTCCAAAGTTCTAACGGCCACGTTTAAATTCAGCTGCCCAAAATTTCACTGTGGTTCATCTTTGATTTGCGTAGGCGTGTTGTCTTTCTATAACAAAATTTAATGATCTTAATTTTTTCCATTTTCACAAAAACATTCACATTGAGTCGATGTCAACTCAAACGACTGTCAAATAATAACTACGCGTACACGTTCAAAATGGCTGAAATTTTGGCGCGTAACTGTCAAAAGATGCACAACTACATTTATAGTTCATAAAAGATAGCTTGATCTCTGCGACAGCTGTCACTAAAAATCACGCCTATGAAGTCCTGAATTTCTTAGTAGTACAGACAGTACCTGTCAATGTCATACTTTATGGGCATGCACTAAATTAGGTCGGCATGCCCATAAAGTATGACATTGACAGGTAATGTCTGTACTACTAAGAAATTCAGGACTTCATAGGCGTGATTTTTACTGACAGCTGTCTCAGAGATCAAGCTATCTTTTATGAACTATACAAGCTTTTATCGACGAGTGCTGCCATATTCACGTTCATATATTATGTTAAAAAATCTATAACATAGTAAAGCAACCCACAAAACTTCTTTTCATTTTAGATTTTAAACGAACAATACTTTCTATCTTTTATTGTTGTCTTGCAAATCCATTAAAAAATTGAATTTCTTACTATATGCTTCATAGACTTGGCATCTTCTATTTAAATCCAAAATGGCTTATCGAACGCAACGTTTAGCGTGTCACTTTAAAAAAATTTACTCCTTTTATTTTAACTGAAAGTTTTAAGTAATCTCTTGTATATGTCATTGTATTCTGCTCCAACTCTAGTAATGAAGTTTTTAGCTTTCTCCTCGTATATCTTTAATTTTTGATGCGATTGTTGACGTATGATACAAACTCTTTTAATGACATAATTAACTAGTTGACTTCACAAATATCCTCTCCAAAATTTCTTCCAAAAAAATAGTGTCGAGTTTAGACGCATTATTAAATAAATTTTGTGCCTCCTTTCGATAATTAACTCTCTCATCTTCATTTTCACTAGAACTAATGATACTTTCTTAATATCATCATAATCATTTGAAAGTTTTGACAGCTATTATCTTCACTGGGGGCTGGGAGCCCTTTGTCTCCACGAGGCTCTGGGCTGCAGCTCAAACAGCCTATATATAGATTCGCCCCTGACTAGCTGATACGCGCTCGCTTCGCTAGGTACACGATAATAAAATAATAATAGAGAATAGATAAAAGAATACAAAATGTCAAGAAGATTTTTTTTATGGGACTATCGTAAAATCCGTTTTTAGTGAGCGTTTACAAATAGTTACTTATATGCGTTGCGAAATAAGTAACTATTTAGAGATATCGTGATGATTCAGTCAGTCAGTCAGGCGACTCGGTAGCGCGCTAACTAATCATTTTTGTTGTGGCCTACAAACGATTGTTTCGGATCCAAGTGTTTTTCCACGTGTATTTTATCTATGTGAAACGTTTTCACGATATAGAAGAACTTCTAAGTTAAAAATACTTCTTTCAATTTCAATTTTTTACCGATGAAATTCTTCTCTGGTATCCACTCAAAATCGTTAACCCAAAATCTACAGTTTGGTGATTTAGTGCGAAGGAATTGGCTTAGCATCCATTGACCTGCCTGTCCGGTATGTGGTGTGTAATCTAGATAAATGTTCCTAGTAATGTCAGAAGACAAATACTTGGATAGTCTTATGTCGAGGATATTATTGATGATGAGGACTGATTACCTAAATTAATATTAAACTAAGGCCTATAAATATGCCACTTTTTTAATTTACACTAGAGTTTTCCTTTGTTTTCTTCTTAAGGAAGCAGAGAAGAAACCATCACGCTACCCCAAAGTGTGTTGAAGATTATTATGTCTTCGAAATTTCTTTAAATTTTTTAGAAATACATGATATCTTACGTTGATTTCTTTTATGCTCGCATACGCTTACCTACTTTAATTATCTGAATCAATTACTGATTATTTAAATTATAAGCAGTCATTTATCTTTACTTGCAGTTATTAAGCACTAGAATGAGTGAACTTGAAACTGAACACACATATCAACTTCGTCAAGCTGAAGCCACTCATGCTGAGAAACTTAAAGAAGTTCACGAAGGTTATTGTGCTGCTATAGAAGAGCTTAAAGAAAAAAACGAGGTACGTATTTAATTGTATATATTGATTTTGTATCTAACCTTCCCAAATAATTTAATAGTATATCCTTCGACATTTAAATAGACGATGGAAAATGAGCACACCCATGAAATTGGCATGATACAACAAGACATAGCAAAATTACGTTCAAGCCATGAAAGAACGCTGCAAACTTTAGAAGCCGATTTCAACGTCAGGCTCATCAGTGAATACGACAGATATCAGGTAATGAATGACGAACGAACTAACATTGCCAAAACATTGACTAAAAATTTTCAATTTACTTTCAATTTATTTAATAGAGTTTGGAAGATAAAACAGCACGAATGAGAAAAGATTATGAACAACGTTTAGAAGAACTGGCTGAAAGCAAGCGTCAGGCTCTTCGAAAACTTACTGAGAAATTTGAAGCAAACCTTGAGGAGAAGGAACATCTTTTGCAAGAAGTAAGCGGTAAAAATATAGCGTTTCTTTTGATTGTACATGAGTACACTCCTTTTTTGTCTTATAGTTACAAGAACAAGCTGAAATTGAGAAAAAGGAACATGAAACAATAAAAGCTTCAATTGAAGAAGACGCTGATCGTGAAATTATAGAGATTAGAACAGCTTACGAGGTTCAGCTTAAAGAAGAAAAAGACGCTAACGTAAGACTAAAAGGAGAAACTGGCCTAATGAAGAAAAAGTTAATCGCCGCTAATAAAGAAATTGATGAATTTAAACATCAAGTATCCCAGTTAAAAGGTAGAGTTCTTAATATATAAATAAAATTGAAGTGTCTGTAGTATCGAAATTTTAAAAATTATCTCTCTGTCTTTCCGATTAGTCTTAAGTTTGTAAGTAATCTTAAGATTCACAAACTCACAGATAGCAAAGGTAGGGGAGGGGTAATCTAGTTTATATTTAATCCGAAAAACATGACTTTTTTGTCAATTGTAAAAAATTGATTAAATGATTTTGGATGTACCTAGGTATATTTCGATAAACTATGAGAGATATTTTTCACGGAAAAGGTCATACACCTTATCATTTAACTAGCTTTTAAAGTTGAGACGCAAAATCGATTTTTTTTATTTCAACGCCAATTTATATCAATATTTTGAGTGTTATAAAGGTATTATAGTAATAAGACCTTTTTTACGGTAAAATTTATCTTCAACTTTTATTTCTAATAAGTTTTCAAGATAATAAGTTTAATGTGGGTTTTGGTAGTACGATTCTAATTGTTGTCAATATTACCACAGTTTTAAGGCCGTGAACGTGGTAGAGCCATGCTGCAGTTATATTAATAGTATAGTTGTATCATGAATGGGTCGGCTCGACCGGGAAAGGATCATGCTCTCACAGAATACCAACGTATAATAGCAGCATAACGTTGCTGTGTTTCGTATGGTGAGTGTAGATAACCGGAGACCCCCTTTAATGAAAACTAGGCATTCCATCTTAGTCGTCACGGGTGACAACTCTTCTGCTTTTTGATTCGTAATCGAGGATAGATGTAGAAGTCTATGGGCCATAGCAACCACTTACCATCAGGTGGACTGTGTGCTCGTTTGTCACACTTATCCTATTAAAAAAAAAACGTCGGGTTGCACTCCGGGAGTGCCGGCAGAAGTGATAACTTGAATACAAACGTTGTGCATTTTTGATATTTTGGAATGGTTAGGGAATAATTTTGCACGAATTGCTTTAATTATCAGTATAAAAGTACTACCATTTATGTGGTAAAATACAATACTTATTTATTGCGCTATCGTACACACACATGACAATTTTAATTATGTTCGCGCAAGCGCTGCGACGCCTAAACAAAACAGCAGGCGCAGACATACATTTTCGCCGCGCCGTAGAAAGAGAAGGAGATACTTCCTCTCCTACGCCGTCCGTCTTACGAATTTAAGATCAGGTCACGTGTCCTGACGCGAGTTTAACATTTTTACCCATTACATAAAAGAGTATAACGCCGCTAAAGAAGTTTTCACTTCAAAAACTTTATAGTTGTGAAACGCCTTTGATAACCGGCGATGCCGCCGCCCGCCTCAAGCCGCCCGCGTAGGTAATCATGCGACACCGTCTATGTTCTTCTTACTAACTAGGGGTTGACTGTGTGACTAGAGGTTGTTATGGAAATGGAAATAAAATCATTTTGGATATTCTAGAATATTATACCTAATACTCATAATCATTTACTAACAATATGTATGTATTTAGGTAATAAGTTAAAAACGTTTATTGAATTAGATCATTTTTATTACTACAAGAAAAAACACATTTACAAGTGTTAAACAGCCAAATATTTTTGTAACCCTTTCTTTTTACAGATGTTTTGAGTTTTCGATTATTAAATTTAATTATGTAATGTATTCGCATTCGGATTAACAATTTTACAAACAAAAAAATAAGGGGAAACACAAGCATGGCCGTCATTAAATTCAATTTTACTTAGTAACTAATATTACTCTAACAGTAATTCACCATTCTAGATATTATATCCTTCATAAGCGACACTTAAAATTAGTTAAATAAGTACTATAAAACACGCTCTTGTCTATCAGGTCGACCGCCACCTGCCTCGCAGTACCCCCACCGTAGCTATGCACAAGTACATTCGTTTCCCAACTGAGCTTGACCGTCTAACTCTAATTAATATCGATATGGAACCCGAAATAATCGGCCCGTAATGCAGGATAATGTCTTAATAAAATGCAAATGCATTCTATAAACACAGAAATGTTCATAATAAGAAGTTACTCTTGAGTATTTTAAATGGAGTTCACTTTCACGGTGCGTGCATCTCGCGTCACGCGGCGCTCATTTATTTGTATGAAACTACAAGCACGCGCCCGATAACAGCCGCGCGGACCATTGGAGTAATATTATGTACTAGGTACTAGGAGATTTGGACGTTTGCAACACGCGCCAGAGTCCGCACTAAATGCAGCATTTACTTGGTGACTTGGTGCCATAAAAAGGTACTTTGCTTACTCAATTTCGTGGACCTGTCGCACGCGTCACGTGTAGTGGGCAGCCCACACGACGTAGCGGTACTCTTGAATTTTGAACAAACAAACTCGCACACTGGTTTCTGCGCATATGCAAATCTTAACTCAGCGGACGCTCTTAAATTGTTTTCACTTCGCGAATAGATGCAATCTCTAAGAGAAGAAGGGACGTCAGCGAGGCTCGATGATAAAAAATTCGAACTACTTGTACTTATTACTTACTACTTGTACTTATTATACTTGAACTACATTACAGCTACCATACCATACAGCCATACACCAGTATATGGTAGCTGTAATGACCATGAGTAGATTGGAACAAGTGAGAGTTTTTGTATTATATAATACGTCCTGAAGAATTATACCAAAAACTTCAGGGCTATAGCGAAAGGAACGTGATTAAAATTGGTCTAAAAATCATTTACATAATTACTAGAAATATCATATCTACAATTAACGCCGTTTGTGCTCAATTACAGCCGAACACAAACAATTTCAAAAAGTGATTTCAACATTGGAACGTGATGTCGCCGATCTGAAAAAGGAAATTTATGAAAGAGATGGAACAATTCAAGATAAAGAAAAGAGAATTTACGCATTAAAAAGGAAAAAGCAAGAGTTGGAGAAGTATAAATTTGTGTTAAATTTCAAGATTACCGAGCTCAAGAATCAGGTAAAAATTTAATTATACATTCATACGAGTAAGTTAGACGTGGTAGAGCCATGCTGCAGTTTTATTACAGTTGTAGCACGAGTGAGTCAGCTTGACAGAAGTAACTGCATTAAGATAATTGATAGAATCAGGCGTTACTTTGCGGAAATCCATAATAATAAAGATATTAATTAATTTGCAACCTTTCGCTAACTAAATAGAATGATGTGTCTTATCTGAATTGAAGAGCACCTCTCGCCCTCCCTCAATTGTATGCATCAATCCCTTTACCACTAATCCCAGCACCACTACTCCCAACACCACTACTCCGGGCACTAGTCAGTCGCCGTAGAGTCTACATCACCTGAGGATGCCTCGTGTAGATGCGAAACACGTGTCGTAATATCATCGATGGTGTGTTTTTCCTGGAATATGTGGTGTTGGGTGTAGTGGTGCCTGATGGAGGGCGGGAGGTGCTCTTCAATCCAGGTAAGACACATCATTGTATTTAGTTAACGGAAGGTTGCAAATTAATTAATATCTTTATTACAACAGCATTAAGCTAAAAAAGGTCGATTCTCTAACCGGAGATTTTTTATTTGAAAGAAAGCATTACATCTTAGTCCTCACGGGTGAGAACACATCCACATAATGTCTAGGAGAAATCCCTTCTACTTGTGCAGCTCTAAATGACCATAAAATTTTAAGTATATGTCCAATATATTCACTACCGATGTTGAGTTTTAATAGTAATGTTTTAGAAAAATATTTCATAATGCAGATTTTTTGTTAGTCCTTAATGGTCAGTAAACCGCTCTATAATATTTTAATACTCGTCATTATCTAAATATTATATTTGTTTACGCTAAATCATAACTCTTGAAACTTGCAAGGCGCGTCGCGGGCGAGGAACCGGTTGGCAGGTTGCGCGGGGTGGGTATTCATTTGCGCCGGCGACCGACCGCGCCTGGCAGTCGGCAGGAATCCTTTGAACGCTGAGGCCGCGCCGGTGGGGGTCGCTAGATTAGACTAGAACATTCGATTTGCGCGACGCCCGGGTCGATTAGAGTTCGCGAGTTTTGATAACAATTGCCGCGTTGAATAACGACAGCCTCCATGGTGTTGTATTTTGTCGTTAATATACGTGACAACGAGGCTTATTCTTGAGTTTTGATTGACTATTTTAACTTCGATTGCTATTAATTTGTGTCGACGAGTGGCTTGTGTAGCTAATTAAAGTTAAAATAAAGTAGTTAACATTGTAAGAAGGAATTTTGCTTTGTCGTGTGGGACGCTAAACTTTGTGATCTGGGTGTAGATCGCGTTCCCTACGAATATATTTGTGCTAAGTGACGTTGGACTTTAGTTCCGACAGCGGCTAACGCCCTCTGTAGTGATTGCTCAAGAGAAGCTGGGCAGCGCATGCGGTTCTGCTATCTGATTATATCGGTGACGTCAGGTTACATTACACACACGTCGGACGACGCCTACCAGACCGCTCGGAACCTCGTCGCCGGAAGGTACGCCAACGTACGGCGAATTGCGGACGAATATGTCAAGCAGCTGCTAAACCTCCCGCTGCTTAAGGACCGGGCCAGACTACGTCCGGACATCGTAAATCCAGTCTTGGTGGCCTGTAATTCTTTAAGGCGGCTGGATTTACCGGTGGACGAATGGTCCTTTTTGTTGCTCCACATTGTGCTGTCCCGCCTGCCTCTCGATCTTCGGCTCCATTTTGAGGAGAGGTACGGCGGGGACGGCGCCTCCTATATTCCGCCCTTCAGGGACCTGCTGCGGTTCTTGGAGGAGCAGTGCAGGCAGATTGAAAACGCAGCGGGCACCGTCGACGACCTACAGACTGCCAACCGAGCCGTGCCCAGGGAGAGGCGGAATCCCCCGAGCAAGTCGTCGCCAACCCTCCTCAGACCGAGCGGAGCTCTCACCGGGAGGGCGCCGTCCCCTACTTTCTTATAGTGGCCTAGTGGCCAGGGAGGCGGCCCCCTGCTCCTATTGTCGAGCATCCGATCATCGGGTGACGTTGTGCCCTAAATTATTGAGTAAGCCGGTCCCAGCGAGACGAACTATCGCCAAGGAGCGCCGCTAGTGCTACTCGTATTTGGAAAGGCATCTCCAAAGAGACTGCCCGCACCAGCGGCCCTGTCCGCACTGCCAGGGCAATCACCATGCGGTTTTGTGCCTGGGTGCGAACGGCGCTTCCTCTCGGGGCTTTGCCGGGCTCTCAATCCCCACGGGCGGGGGCGCTCAGTCATGCCCTCTGTCAGGCGACGCTCGTCGCTCCCCTGCCGGCCACCGTGCCCCTGGTTTTGAAGGGGGTCCCCCCCGACCAGTCAGGGTTCGTTCCTTCAGGGGCGGGCGGGGAGTCGTCACCCCCCCCCTCAGCGTGTGGAGAGGAACTTCACGGCCATTCAGCGGTCAGCTAGACCCTTCTCACCCCCGTTAGCTGAGAGGCCGCGACTGGAGTACCACCCTCCCCCCTTTGGTCGGTACCGGTACTACGGGGTTCCTGCGACTTCGAATTTGTCCCGGGCCTCAAGGCCAAGGTTCCCCGAAGCTCCCCAGGTCGGCCCGTTCGGTGAATTCCAACTACCAGTCATTGAGAGGCCGTCGGAATGCCGCTTTCGGGACCCGCGGTTCGAGTGCCGGTCCGATGGAGGCCGCTACAGCTAGGTAGCGGCCGCCCTAGCTCCCACCATGGCCGCCTCCACTGATCCACTGAGCCGTCAACAGTCCACTTGTCAAACTGTTCTATTGCCGACGGCCTCAGTGAAGGCGTACAACCCGAGTGGCGACTGTTTAACGGTTCGCGCTCTATTGGATTCGGGTTCACAAGCTGTGTGGCCTCCACTTGGTTGGTGGGAAGACTAGGGCTCTAAATATCTAACGTTTTATTTGAAGATAAAATATTTGAGTAACTTATTATATTCAAACGTTACAACAAACGTTACATTCAACGTTATATGTTAAAGGATTGTTAGTAGAGCTTACTATCAGAGTTTGTGACATTTTACAGTTTTACGATGTAGCTCTTAAAACATGTCCTTTTTGTTTTTGTTTTTGTTCTTGTGTTTTTTTTCTTGTGCTTTTATTATTGTGCTTCGGTTGCTGGTAACTCACCATCATGTTTAGAATGCTGCTATAATATAATGCGGCTAATTTGTAGCGAGAGTTTTGAATTTTGGCTGGCCAACGCACCATTCGGAGCGTCATTTTTAAGAACATACCTTGTTATAAATTGAAGGCCACCATATCGCAGCCGATGATGGGTGACTTACCACCCGATCGCGTCAGGGCCATCCGACCATTCGCTGGAGTCGGAACCGACTTTGCTGGCCCCTTCCTCGTCAAGTCCTCCAACCTTCGTAACGCGCGTTCATATAAAGCCTATCTACTAGTCACTATACTGAAGTGCCTCAGACTGATGCTTTGTGCCATGAGTCGTAACGATCCGAATGATTGGGCATGACCCATTCCCTTCCTTTGGAAGGTTCTAACCCCGGGCCACTTCCTGATTGGCCAGCCGCATAACGTCCTGCCCGATTACCCCTTCAGGGAAACAAACTCTTCGCGGTTGGGCAGATTTGACCTGCTGCAACAAATGACTTAGAGTTCTTGGCACCGATGGTCTCTGGAGTAACGACATCTTTTGCAGCAGCTCGTTAAGTGGTCTGACAAGACGGATCCTCCTCGGGTTGGAGACCTCGTGTTAGTTAAAGAACCTAACGCTTTGCCTTTGTATTTAGCACCTTGGGCGCATTGTTAAGTTGTAAGTTGTTGTAAGAGATTCGGTTTTGCAATGGGCCGTCGCGACCCGATTTACTCGCGGGCATAAGTCCTCATGCCCGGGACGGGGGCTTGTTTACGATAAATCATAACTCTTGAAACTTGCAAGGCGCGTCCCGGGCGAGAAACCGGTTGGCGGGTTGCGCGGGGTGGGGGGTGTTGTATTCATTTGCGCCGGCGATCGCGCCTGGCAGTCAGCAGGAATCCTTTGAGCATTAAGGCCGCGCCGGTGGGGGTCGCGAGATTAGACTAGAACATTCGATTTGTGCGACGCCCGGGTCGATTAGAGGTCGCGAGTTTTGATAACAATTGCCGAGTGGCTTGTGTAGCTAATTAAAGTTAAAATAAAGTAGTTAACATTGTAAGAAGGAATTTTGCTTTGTCGTGTGGGACGCTAAACTTTGTGATCTGGGTGTAGATCGCGTTCCCTCCGAATATATTTGTGCTAAGTGACGTTGGATTTTAGTTCCGACAGCGGCTAACGCTCTCTGTAGTGATTGCACAAGAGAAGCTGGGCAGCGCATGCGGTTCTGCTATCTGATTATATCGGTGACGTCAGGTTACATTACACACTTCTCACACACCACTCACACATATCATTTACTTGCCCCTGACGACGTCTTGTGGTCGACCTACTTCTGGAATTCGGTAAGTTTTGTGTTTGCGTATCTAGCCGTTATAAATTAATTATCCATAGGCCATTTAGGGCCCTCCCCTCTAGTTGCCCGTCGAATACAGTAACCCATACTGATGGGCCCTAGCTCAATCGACCTTTGTCGGGGTAACTCAGGGCCGTAACAATATTTACTGTCGAAAAAACATATTAAAACTTTGTTACCGAAAAAAGTAATTACCGTGACAGAAACCATGTTTTTTTACCCGGTCAACAGCGTTTTATAATGTCATTTCTCTATTGAGAAAATGGGCAACATGTTTATTTGATCTGAAACTGCCTATTCGGATGCACGTGCTGTGCATGGAATCGTAACATGGAATTGTTACGATTCCATACAATACAAGCTGAGCCCTCTTGTTTTGTCAAATGTAATAAACGGCAATAATTTTATGTTATAATTATAATATCAAAGTTTTAAAAAATCCTTTATCCATTTTTATAAATTATTAATAAATTTGATAATAGAAATGTACACAAACGTAATTTACAAATAGATTGAACCTAAAGAAAGGACTATACAAGAATTGAAAGTGCAAATTGATGATATGGTGAACGAAGAACAAAAACTACTAAATATTAAGCATGATCTTGGTATGCTTTAACAAAGACTAATTTATTGTCTTTTACTTAAAACTTGGTGCGTAGTTAGGTTCACATAAAAAAGTTACAGCTGTTAAAATAATTTTTTGTTATACACAGATAGAGCCATTAGAACGCGAAATTAAAGAGAAAAAAATACGAGTCCTTGAGCTAGAAGTGTCTCTTGAAAATCTTCTTAAACAAAAAGCTTTTCGCGGTAATAAGACCATCATCAATATCCAGTTGTAATTTTTTTCACAATTAAGAACCAAAAGTACTAGTTGTCAACATCATTTATATAGTATTGCTAATATTCACAGATCGTTGTTATCTGTACGCTTACCGAGTATTCATGAGCACCTTACATGTAGTGTTAATTAGTCTTCCATTAGATAATGCAGCGACCCATATACCTCGACTAGTATACATACAAACCTACGCTTTTAGGTCCTTATTTACGCACTTTAGTGATTTGGTGTATATGCTCTAATGTTTGATCGTATATTTATATTACCTAAAATATATAATTTTATTTTAAATTAGTTTAGCTATAAGTCTATAGTTGCACACAAAACCAATTTATGTATATAAATCTGTACCTAATAGCTAACTGTACATCGTTTATTCTAGAACTTACTATTACTCAGTTGAATGAAAAGTTAGCATCCGCTAAGAAGGATTATCTCGCCGAAGCAAACAGGAACTTGACTTTAAAGAACATATTAAAAAAAATTAAAATTGATCTCCATAATATGTCTGCGAATCTTCAAGATCCCACAAAACTGAAATTGAGTGTAAAGGTAAATATTGAATTGCTAACCCTTAACTAGATATGTTTTTCACGATGAGAGAGTAGGAGTTTGTTTATCTTTAGCTTATCTGCATCGTTGGTCTAGTGCATAGAATACTATAATACATACATAATAGAACGGGGTAGTGGGCGGAGCCCGTGTAGCCACTGAAATGCCACAAGACGTCAATCCACACGTATAAATGTCAACACGAGATGTGTTTTGACGTTACAATCTAATATATAGTGGCAAATTATTTAGAAAATGCCAAATTGCACGCTATTTACAAATAAATATGTATTAAAATCCGTCTGTCAACACAGCGAATCGGGTTTGTAGTACCTAGTGATTAACTGTCAATACGACGTAATTGCTGGTATGTGTGCTCCGGGCGACGCCTATCCTCGTACAAAATAAGGTTGACAGCCATTCTATGGTGTATTATAGTATTTTATGGTCTAGTGGCCGCAAGCGTGAATGCGGATCATGAGGTCGCGGGGTTTGATTCTCTAATGAAATTCTGTCAAAACATTTTCATTAGTAGCCCAGAGTCAGGAAGGTGGCAATGTTTCACCCCCGTGCCTCGAAAAGTACGTATAATCGTTGGTCCTGCGCCTGATCTCATTCCACTCGCGGCGTATTGTTGTCCTATTGGACAATGACAGTAAAGGAGTAGAGAGTACACCTGTGCTTGCGTACACACATGCACTACAATCCTGTCCTGCAGAGATGTCTCAGCTCTTACTTGAGATTGAGACTGGCTATCAAGCTCGAAATTCAGTCTAGAGGACATTATTAATCAGTAGCAAAAAGGATTCCAAATAAATTGCGAAAGTGTTATACTTACATTTTTATGTTACATCACGACATATCTTGCGTAAGGTGTGTGATTATTATTAATCTATTTAAAAAAATACGTGAAGGAATGTTGTTTAGCCTTCTTATTTTCATTTCCGAACATTTCCGAACTCGAAGAATTTTAATAAGATATAAAGATTAAAAATTTTAGTAACATTTATCTTTTTATTTGGTATTTGTAATAAAAAAGATATTTGCATAAAATTTAAACTTCTAAATTCCAACAGGCATTGTTCCACAAGTACGTGGAGGATGTGGACTTCATCCGCAGCCGAGTGGCGGATGACGAGGCGGTGCGGGAGTTCAACCGGCAGCGTGATCACCTTGAAAAGCAAATCGCTGCACTCAAACAACAACTGTCCAAATGCCTCGGGGGCTCGAAGAGCGATATCACTAAGATTATGGATGTAAGGCTTAAATTTTTGTTTTTAATTTTATCTATTAATAAGCCCTTAATATTTTATAGTTTGATTATCTCATAGTTTACTTTTCATTTAATAAAAGCAAGGGTGATCACCATTCCATCTCATCAGATGGAGGTACCATCGTACCTAAGGCTTAGCACGCACTGCGATTAAACGCACGAATTTAATGAATGTCTGAAACCACCAAAACTGTAACATATAGCTTTTTATACAAGCGCACGCATTAGCGACTTTTTTCAGTGACTGATTTTAAAAACGTAACTTGCTACATTTTGATCGCGGTTTGTAAGCGCGCGATTTTTATGTGTCCCATAGTAATAGTATGGCGGCGCACACAAAGCGGTTAACCGCGTTCGGTTTTTATTCAACTCTTCAGATGATATCGTCATACGAAATGCAGTGTCTTCATGTTGTAGGTACTGGCCCACAGCTTGTAATAATTTATCAAAAGTACCAATCGACATTCTGTGGCAATTAAAAAAACTTATCGGGATGTTGTCGCACGTCGCTGTAAGGACATTTTGCAAAAGTATCTTTTCAGATGTCTTTGATCTGTTAATGGATGTAACCAATACCTATGGCAGCGCCGTTGTTTACGTTTTCTATTTTTTAATTTAAAATCCAAAACGACTATACACATGCTACTCGCCCGAAATCCACGGTGGTACTGAAATAAAATAAAGCAAAACTCCAACCGCAGTGCGTGATTGTATGCGGTTTTGCGTTTTCAGCTATTCCTAAACCGCTCTCGATTTCGCAGTGCGTGGTAAGCCTAATGACTGATGTTTCTTTACAAATAAAACGATATATACGATATAAAGGTAATACGACTCCCTTAATGAATTCCACAACAGCATAGTCCCGACTCCGAGAGCAGAAGTGCGGTGGTCTTGTTCTTTAAGAAAGGCGACAACGCTCTCTTGATGAACTACAGACCGATTTCCCTTCTGAGCCGCGTCTACATGCTGTTTTTGAGAGTCATTACGAATCGTCTCGCACGCAGACTCGACGACTTCCAGCCTCCCGAATAACCTGGTGTCCGAAAAGGCTTCAGTGCCATAGACCACATACATACCCTGCGGCAGATTATACAGAAGAACGAAGAGCACAATCTGCCACTTTTCCTGGCGTATGTGGACTATGTGAAAGCCTTTGATTCCGTCGAAATTTGGGCGGTGCTACAGTCCCTTCAGCGGTGCCAAGTTGACTGTCGGTATATCGAAGTGCTGAAATGTTTGTACAGTAGGGCTACGATGGCTATCCGAGTACAGAACTAGAGTTCGAAACCTATCCAACTGCAGAGAGGTGTAAGACAGGGTGACGTTATATCCTCGAAACTCTTCATCGCTGCGTTGGAAGACGTTTTAAAGGTACTGGACTGGAAAGGATACAGTATTAACATCAATGGCGAGTACATCACTCACCTTCGATTTGCCGACGATATAGTCCTTATGGCAGAATCGCTGGAGGACCTTAGCACTATGCTCAATGACCTCAATGGTGTCTCCCAACGGATAGATCTTAAGATGAACATGGACAAAACAAAGATCATGTTTAATGTCCATGTCACACCTACGCCGGTAGTTGTTGGGAGCACTATGCTCGAAGTTGTTAACGAGTACGTTTACCTGGGACAAATAGTCCGACTAGGTAAGTCCAACTTCGACCGAGAGGTCAATCGACGGATTCAACTCGGCTGGGCAGCGTTCGGGAAATTACGACACATCTTCTCGTCAGGTATACCTCAATCTCTGAAAACTAAAGTGTACAACCAGTGCGTGTTGCCAGTGATGACTTACGGATCTGAGACGTGGTCCTTCACTGCTGGCCGTATGAGGACGCTCAAGGTCGCTCAGCGAGCTATGGAGAGGGCTATGCTCGGAGTTTCTCTGCGTGATAGACTCAGAAATGAGGATATCCGCAGTAAAACCAGAGTGACCGACATAGCCCAACGGATTAGTAAGCTGAAGTGGCAATGGGCCGGCCATATAGCTCGAAGAACCGATAACCGGGGGAGAACCTGGGGGAGAAAGGTTCTCGAGTGGCAGCCTCGTAACGGTAGGCGTAGTGTAGGGCGACCCCCCAAGAGATGGAGTGACGACGTGGTAAGACATCCAGGAAGTCGATGGATGCAGGTGGCTCAGGACCGTGCTTTGTGGCATTACTTAGGGGAGGACTATGTTCAGCAGTGGACTTGTGAAGGGCTGTAATGATGATGATGATGATGATGATAGTCCCGAGTCAGCTGCATCCATAGATTTTCTGATCATTTACCAGGTCGTCGCTACATCTAGTGGGAGGCCGCTCTACACTTCATTCACAAAGGAAATATACTTCTTATCCTCGTTGGCCATTTTATTGTTAATTTATAAGTGAATTATTGTAAATCCCGCATTATTATTATCTAACGTGTTGTATTATTTTGAACTGTGTTTGAATAAGCACAATACATGAAATTTTAACATAGCTCAGTTCATAGTTTCATCGAAATTGCAAAACAATTTGGACAATTTCAGGAAAACTGCACACTTTTGACTGAGATCAACAACTTGCGTACTGAGTTAAAGTCTACCCGTTCACGTTGCTTTCAAATGGAGTCTATTCTTGGTCTCTCTGCGCGCTACGTACCTCCGGCAGCAGCTCGTGCAAAGCTCAAGCAGGTGACAGAAGATCGTGAAAAACTTGATGAAGAATTTAAACAAAAAATTGAGGTTACATAAAATTCGATAATGTGCATATTTATTTAAGTATCAGATCTCAAAAAGTCGTCATCAACAGTATGACTTATTCCATGGCCGTTATAAGCAAGGCGCACTCAATCTACCTGTTTTTAAGAAACACGTTCATAATTATTATTTTCAACATTGATTCGATCAAATTCATATTATGTAGGTATATAATTATTCTACCTTTATCTGGCTACACTATTTGTTTATTTATATGGCACATTTATGTTACATGTAATAGTTTCAAAATATATATACGTAGGTACTTTAATATATTTATAAAATATATACAAATATATTAATAAGTATGTAAGTATTTATCGTATCTGTATACTTATATACCATTCTATATTATGCATCTTTATTTCTATTTTATGGTTTATAATAAAAATGGTATTTTTGTCGCCAAACCACATACGTTTTTATTGTTTTTTTGCAATTCTGTCCATCCAAAGACAAGAGATCGCTCTTAGCGATAAGACCGCCCATTGTACATTTTATTGTCTCCTTTTTTTGTTAATTTTTATATTATTTTGCGTGCAATAAAGTGTTATCTATCTATCATGGCCCTAGTATCAAATACGTTCCCCTCAGGGCTTTTTATTTGACGCCAAGCTTGCAATTAGGCTCCAATAAATTAACAAGCAGCCTTAGTTCTGCTGCAAATAAGAAACGAAGAGGATTAGATACGAATTATTTAGAAGACTCACTAATGTTGATAGTGCTACATTGATTTATTTTAGAATTATTTTCATAGTATAATGTCATTGAGAATTTTATGACGTGGAAACACGAGTGACATTAATAATAAATTTGTTTCGCAAAAGAAGTAAAGGCGAAATGGCAGTTCATAACTTTTGAAAACTTGAACGCTCCGTAACACAGTGGCTAAGCTTATATCTCAGCGCTGCGGGTCGCGGGTTTGAATCCCTCACGGAGTTTGTATGATCTACAAAAAAATGTTTCAGGTTTTGTAAGTGCTCGTATAAGGGAGCGTCGATAAAATAGAGCGGGTTTGCTGGCGGGATGTTAACTGGAGAGCATACAGTAGCAGTTAGATGAGCAATAAATAACAAACACTTCTTGAGAGTTTCTTCTTATTTTATTTCTTGATTCCTTATTATTACATTGCCGGATTTGGAATGTTTTACCACGAAAAACGCCCCTTTTTTTATAAGCGGCTGTAACCAATCGTAATTAAGAAAAAATCGCACACGGCATTAGTGAATCTATTGACCAATCAGAGCACAGAATAACCCTTTCTAAGAGGGATTTACAATTTCCTTAATAAACGTGGTAAAACATATCTTACAATATTTATATTTATTCCTAGCGATAGATACAACTTATTTCTATTATTCTAAACCTAAATTATTCAATAAACCTTTATTTTACACTTATAAAAAATAAAAATAGCTTCGCGGTCGCTTCACGGTTTAGCTCCGGAGTAGGATAGTATTTTTTTGCCGAACATACAAGTAGCGCCGCCAAGAGGTAGGAATGTACATCACCTTTTTTCAGGATTAATGCTTAAGAATCTATACAATATTTTTTCATAAAATTTAAATCTTTCTCATAATGAAATGACATTGTATAGTGATTAATTGACATATTAATGTTTCTTTTGAATTACTTTAAAGTAAAAAGAATTACATTAATCACCTATGTGTTAATAGCTCTTAAAGTTATGATAAAAGAAATCTTACTAGAAAATAAGCTTATACTTGCGTCTAATGTTCTAATCAGACCTAAATAATATTAAATAGATTCATATAAGTTACTTTAAGATAAGAATAGAAGTGTTTAATTTACTTTCCCGTTTTCAGCACTAATCAGTCTTTACACTTAGCTTTATTTTACGAATAGGAAACAATTAAGATTAAATACTATCACTCAGTTTTAAATCACTGATAAGAAAATAATTAAGATTAAATGTTCGAATTCACTTTGTCGTCGATAACATTCTCCCCCACGGTGCGTAGCACTGCATCCTCTGGAGGCGACGACTCCGCTGGCACCAGCACGATGACACGTCGAGTTGGACGGCGAAGTATTCCACCTGATGTCCGCACGTCCAGCACCCTGGTTCTTCCGTCTGGTCCGGGATAGGTTTTGACGATTTCACCGCGAGGCCATGAGTTTCGCGGTAATGTGGCGTCTACTATTAGCACGATGTCTCCTTCCCTTGGGTCTCTGGTTTCTTTCCCTTCGAGTTTCCTTGGCATCAGGAGAGGTAAGTATTCTTTAATCCACCTTTTCCAGAAGTGGTCTGCGAGTCTCTGGGTGGTTCTCCAGCTTGCCCTTCCGATGAGCTCCGTGTCGCTGAACTCTCCCGGCGCCATAGCTCCGCATGATCTTCCCAGCAGAAAGTGGTTCGGTGTTAGGCTTTCCTCGTCTCCTGGGTCCATGCTGATCGGGGTGAGAGGTCTCGAGTTGACGATGTGTTCAACCTCAGTCATTAGCGTATGGAGTACTTCCTCGGGCGGGCTCTTCTCGTTGAGGACTACTGCTAGCGCCGTTTTGACTGTTCGTACGAGCCTCTCCCAGGCGCCTCCCATGTTTGGAGCTCCCGGGGGGGATGAACTTCCACTGGATGCCCTTTTCCTGTGCGGCCTCTTCTAATTCCCTTTTCGCTCCGACGAAATTAGTTCCGTTGTCGCTATATATTGTTTTCGGAGTTCCTCTTCTGGCTGCCATTCGTCGGAGTGCCATGATCATTGAGCTGGTGCTGAGAGAAGGTACCAGCTCTCTCTCTCTAGTTGTGAGACAGGTAAATAAGGCTCCCCAGCGCTTCTCGTTCCTTCTTCCGATGGTGACTTGCATCGGCCCGAAGTAGTCTACAGCTGTGCAGGAGAACGGAAATTGATGATGCTGCAATCTTTCACTCGGCAGATCTCCCGTTGGTGGTATCTCTGGTGAACTCTTCTTTGTCTTGCACCATTGACAGCTGTGTGCGACCGCTTTTAGAGTTGCTCTTAAACCCAAGATCCAGAACCTTTGACGAATTTCGTTCATTACCGTAGCGGTGTTTCCGTGAAGGAATTTCCTGTGATAGTGTTGTATTATTAGACGAGTTATTTTTTGTTTTCCGTCTAAAATGATAGGATTCATTATTTTTCCGTTTTGATCGTGGAATTTCATTGTTCTGTTCCTTAGTTTAATTATTCCGTCGTCTCCAATGTAAACGTCGATTTTCTTGAGTCGGCTCGAATTTTCTAATGGCTTTTCCGACTTCAGTTTTCTTATGTCTGATGCAAAACTATCGCTCTGGCTTATTTTTATTAATATCTCTTCGGCCTTTTTTAGGTGTTCTGCTTCTATGGGTGAGTATAGGCGTTTATTTTCACTTCTGCTGGTCGACGGGATTGAGGTTTGTGTTTCTTTCTTCTGGATTTTTTGTGGTTTCCAGGACTCATCCTTCTGGCGTGCGGCGGTGGTGGTCGCTTTACGGCTCTTCTTTAGTAGGTGTGTAAAGGCGATCACTCTGGCTGTAGTGCGCAGCAGTCGCTCCCAGCTCGAGAACCTTTCTAGGTTTAGTAGAGTGTCTTCTGCTGCCATTGTTGCCAACACCTTTTGCTTGCTTTTTTCTTCTGGCATAACAATTTCTGGCTTGAAGTCGTGGAATGGCCATTCTTCTTCTGGTTGACGGAGAAATGACGGGCCTTTGAACCATCTGGCGTTGTGGTCGAATTCGATTGGGGTTCCCCTCGTGGCGTCGTCCGCTGGATTCTCCTTGGTTGGCACCCATCTCCAGTCTTCTGGCTTGGACCTTTCTTCGATCTCGGCGAGTCGGTTGGCCACAAAAGTTTTGAACTTCCTTGGTTCTGACTTTATCCACTGCAGTACTGTGCTGGAGTCGGTCCAGTAAACCTTCTTCGATATGTCGAGCTCTGATTCCTCTTCGATTGTGGCGGCTAGTCTGCTTCCGAGTAAGGCCGCTTGTAGCTCTAGCCTCGGAATTGACACAGGTTTCGTCGGCGTTACCCTTGCTTTGCCGGCGATCATGGAGACATGGACCTTTCCTCCGGGCTCTACTATTCTCCAGTAGACTACTGCTGCATAGGCTTCTTCACTCGCGTCGGAGAACGTGTGTAGCTGTCCTTTTCTGCCTTTGGGTGAGACGCATCTCGGGATCTTCAGCCTTGTTAATGTTGAAACTTCTTCCAGGTATTTCATCCAGGCTTCTTTTTGATGTTCGTTGATTGGTTCATCCCAGTCTATTTTCTTTCGCCAGATGTCTTGGATTAGTTTCTTTCCTTGTATTAGAACTGGTGTAGCAAAACCCATTGGATCGAAGGTGGACATTACTGCGCTTGTGACTTCTCTTTTTGTTGGAGTCCTTCTGCCGTCTTGCAGGTCTTCCGGCGTGTTGCGTAGCCCGACGTTGAAGGCTAATGCATCTTCTTTCACCAGCCATCTTAGTCCCAGAGTTTTCTCTTCCTTGGTCAGTTGTAAGGAGTTTTCTTTGTTTGTGTCTTCTACCTCTGATATTACCCCCGAGTTGTTGCTGGCCCATCCCTTCAGATGAAAATTTGCTCTTGCGTGAATGTCTTTCACTTCTTTGGATATCTTCTTTGCTTCGGTTGTAGATGCGAAGCTCTGCAGATAGTCGTCCATGTAGTGATTTCTCTTAATTGCTTTCACTGCTTCAGGATGAGTGTTCTTAAATTCCTCTGCGTTCTTGTTCATTACGTATATTGCTGTTGCAGGTGATGACGCTGCTCCGAAGATGATTGAAGACATTCTATACTCTTCAGGCTTGCCGGTTCTTCGGTTTCCGCGCCACAGGAACCTGAGACTGTCTCGGTCGTCTTCTCTGACTTTTACTCGGAGAAACATGTCTTGTATATCTGCCATGACGGCTACTGGTCCCTCTCTGAAACGCAGCAGTACTCCGAATAGTGATTGTAGCAAGTCTGCGCCCGAGAGCAAGGCGTCGTTGAGGCTCTTTCCTTCATACTTGGCAGCTGCGTCGAACACTATTCTTAGCTTCTTCTTGACTGGGTGTACAACAGCGAAGTGGGGTAGGTAGAATGTCCTTCCTTCGTTAGAGGTTTCTGGAGCCTTTTCTGCGTATCCTTTTTCGATTAGACTCAGGATTTGCTCCTCGTAGTGCTTTCTTGCTTCTTGATCACGATCCAATTTTTTCTCGATGCTGACCAGGCGTCGAACAGCTTGATTGTAATTGTTGGGCAGGCGTTCATCTTCTTTTTTCCACAGGAGTCCCGTTTCATATTGACCGCTTGGCAGTTTCTTGGTAGTTTTCTCGAGGGTTTCTAATGCTCTTCTGTCGCTGTCGTTAGATGGTGAACGATTTTGGATCCCTAGAGACTCTAATTGGAAGTGTTCTCGGACGAGGTCTTCTATTTCTTCCTTGCCAGGGGTCGCTCTGCCATAATGAGTGAAGTGTACTGTGGCAGTTGTTCCTGTTTCACATCCGTGTAGCACCCACCCTAAGTTCGTGAGGGAAGCTACAGGATCTGATGGTTTGCCCTTCTTCAGTTTTCTTGTCACTATCAGTCCCCAATTGTCTTGGCCTATCAGTAGCTTGGGCCTCTCGGAGACGTAGAGGAGTTGATTTTCAATTGCCTTCAGGTGCTCACAGTTTCTCACGGTGTCCTTGTTTATGCATTGTTCGGACAGCTTCAGGTCATCGATGGTTCTTGCTACGATAGTTCTTTTTTCTTTTCTATGAGCCCCTTTTATTTTGAACTCGATCTTCTGTGAACTATCTTTTCTTAATACCTTTCCGCCGACGGTTTCGATCGTGAGTTTTTCTTTCTTTCCTTCGACTCCGATTTTCTCAGCGATTGATGCGTCTAAGAGTGTGACCGTTGACCCTTCGTCTAGTAGTGCCAATACGCGAACTTGACCTTTTGGGCCATAAAGGTTCACGGGGATCATCTTTAGGTAGGCCTTTTCTTCTCCTTTGGCGTTATGAATTGAGGCGACCTTTTCTTCTGAGGTGCTATTGGTGTCTTTTGCTTCTTTTTCTATCGACGCCGGTGGTTTGTCAGAATGTAAGATGGTATGATGCCATCTTTTACACAACTTGCAGACTGGAGCTTTACAGTTGATTCTTGAGTGTCTGAATCGAAGGCACTTGAAGCATATCTTTGCTTTCTTGGTCATATTCCATTTTTCATTCAGATTGGCTTCTTTGAACCTTTTACATTCTAATGCGAAGTGTTCTTCCCCACAGAACGGACACGACTTCTTATATTTCTCTTTTGACGCTTCTTGAACCAAATGAACGGGTTTTCTTATTCCTCTTCTTTGTTCTGAGGACGCTTCGGGCGGGGCGAAGTCTCCACACATGTCTGCTTCTGTTTCTAGGAACGCTTCGATAAGTAATAGCTCCTGAATTTCCTCATCTCTTCTGCTTCTGTGGTAGGCGAACCAACGGAACTTCATTGACGTCGGCATCTTGTCTACTATAACTCTCAGCGTTTCAGGTGAACTGAGATACTGTGGTTTCTTCAGGGCTTTGATTGTCTCGACTGCGTTCTTTACTTTGCTTGCAAATATGCATATGTCGCTCGGGTTTTCGCCGACTCTTGGGAGGTTCTTCATTTTCTCTAGTTCTGCTAATGCTAGTGCTCCAGGTCTTCCGAATCTTGCTTCCAGTCCCTTAATTACTTCGCGTGGGTCTTCGGCGGTGAACAGCAGGCTTTGGACGGCTTCTGTAGCTTTTCCTTGGATCGCTATTCTAAGGCGCGCTAGGTTTTGGTTGCTACTGAAAGAAGCAGCCGTATCCTCGTATGATCTTTTGAAGGCTAACCATTCTTCGCAGGCCCCGTTGAAGTGAGGGAGTTCTAGGTGCTTCGGTGAAATGGTGTCACGTGATTTTTCTGATAGCTTTAGTATGACTGAAGCTAGTTCCTGGATGTCACTTTTCTTTTCTTCTGCCTCTATTGGTTTGTGGTTCTTATTAGGCATGTCTCCGGTCTGGATGAACCAGCGTTCGACTTCTCGAGTTCGTTCGAACAGCTCTTCTCCGGCACCATCTTCCTCTTCTGATTCCGCGGTGAGAAGTTCTAATTCCGCTTGAGCAACTTTTGACCGCGCTTCTGCCAATTCTAGTTCCCTTAATGCCATTGTCATCTTTGCTTGCGCTTCTGCTCTCTTCCTATGCGACGAGCGAACGGAAAGCGTGTCTGGATCGCGGGTCGTCTTCTTAGGGTGAGGCTGCTGCAGAGTCTTCATTGCGACACTTCTTTCTTGAATCTGCGGCGTTGGATGACTTTCTTCTTGGTGAGGAACTGACGCTTCGACGGTGCGTGTCGGGGGGGTGGTATGGGTTACGTCCCCCGGTGTTGATTCCTTTCCGGCAATGTTCTTGTTAAGAAGTACGGGTTGTCTGTGTACGCTGCTGGGCGATGCTCTTGTAAGCGTCGATCGATCTGAAGTCGACGTGTTAGTAGCCGTCGTGTTTGTAGAATCACTCGGCGTATTCATGCTCCAATCCGTCGTACTGGTACCCGTAGTGGCGTTACTTTCACTCGTAGTCTTCGACTGCACTGATTTTGATCTTGTATTTGAAGGCATCTTCCTAGTTTTCCTTAAACCCGATCCGGCTTCTCGAAGGACCAATTGTAAGTGCTCGTATAAGGGAGCGTCGATAAAATAGAGCGGGTTTGCTGGCGGGATGTTAACTGGAGAGCATACAGTAGCAGTTAGATGAGCAATAAATAACACTTCTTGAGAGTTTCTTCTTATTTTATTTCTTGATTCCTTATTATTACATTGCCGGATTTGGAATGTTTTACCACGAAAAACGCCCCTTTTTTATAAGCGGCTGTAACCAATCGTAATTAAGAAAAAATCGCACACGGCATTAGTGAATCTATTGACCAATCAGAGCACAGAATAATCCTTTCTAAGAGGGATTTACAATTTCCTTAATAAACGTGGTAAAACATATCTTACAATATTTATATTTATTCCTAGCGATAGATACAACTTATTTCTATTATTCTAAACCTAAATTATTCAATAAACCTTTATTTTACACTTAATAAAAAATAAAAATAGCTTCGCGGTCGCTTCACGGTTTAGCTCCGGAGTAGGATAGTATTTTTTGCCGAACATACAAGTAGCGCCGCCAAGAGGTAGGAATGTACATCACCTTTTTTCAGGATTAATGCTTAAGAATCTATACAATATTTTTTCATAAAATTTAAATCTTTCTCATAATGAAATGACATTGTATAGTGATTAATTGACATATTAATGTTTCTTTTGAATTACTTTAAAGTAAAAAGAATTACATTAATCACCTATGTGTTAATAGCTCTTAAAGTTATGATAAAAGAAATCTTACTAGAAAATAAGCTTATACTTGCGTCTAATGTTCTAATCAGACCTAAATAATATTAAATAGATTCATATAAGTTACTTTAAGATAAGAATAGAAGTGTTTAATTTACTTTCCCGTTTTCAGCACTAATCAGTCTTTACACTTAGCTTTATTTTACGAATAGGAAACAATTAAGATTAAATACTATCACTCAGTTTTAAATCACTGATAAGAAAATAATTAAGATTAAATGTTCGAATTCACTTTGTCGTCGCTAACAGGTTTGTATGTGTATTCGTGTGCAATTAATGCATGTAAACTGTAATAGTCTCAATTAAACCAAGCGGGATCATTTTTTCTTACTGGTTCTCCTAAGCAATGGTAAATAAAAAAAGACGAAAAAATTCAAAAATATGTCTTTCAATAATCATTATGTAATAATTTATATTAAATAAAATATTATATTATATTCTATGCTTTACGTACATGAGTTATTGGTTACTGTAGTTAGCAGACAAGAATTATGCGGACTGTTTTTATTAAGTCGATTATCAATTTCGATACTTTCCTTTATATAAGTCGTCGGCAGATTTTATGCTTTTACGCTTTCTGGTTTGCAAAATACACAAGACCCAATTATATATACTTACTGTATAAATGTCCGTGGCAAAACAGTTTATAGCCACTGTTTTTTTAAAGAATATTAGTAATCCTATTAATTAACATTACTAATATTCCCTTTATCCACTCCTGTTAAGCTGAAAATGCTTTTGTTAGGAGTGGTTCACGGCATTAGTCGAATGGTGGATTCGAACTCACGACCTTTTGAGTTAGCGGTCCGCGCTCTGCCATTAAGCTACTGTCGCTTAAGTTTTTATGACGAATCTTACAAGCTGCCGACAATATATTATATTTATTGGCTTTTTATTTTGGTGGTAAGTGTGCGGAGGGATATACCAACATTTTCTCCAAACGACCACCTCACCTGGTGATTAACTTGCTGACAAAGCTCAAGCGATAGGCTGATGGTGGAAAATTTATGATCCATACGCGGCATGCGAGGTGTGAGGGAATCTGTTCCGCAAAGCGAGTAAGAGCAAATCTTGTGAATAATGCTTGTCCGCAGGTGCGTACTTAGGAGGGACCTATTCCCAGCTATGGACTTAAAAAGGATATATTGTCATGTGTTACGAAATATTTGCTATTGGTATTTATTTCTTGTTCCGCTCTTCAGCTCAGCACCAAAATTCATTAAATGATAGGTCAGTCTAGATCTTTAAAGATTTTTCATAAATTAGGTTACGAGCTATTCAGAACTTCTACGAAATATTTTCTTAGATGTATCTATAGTTGTTTTATTATTTAAAAAAAGATCCGAAACGAATAGGAGACAATACTGCCAAATGACGAATTTTTCCTATTATACATATATTTTATTCCGGAATTATAAATATCCTATTGCCTTAATTAAATGGAAAATAAAATAATTGTTCCCTTAAAAACATTAAATATAAACTTTCAACTTCAACTTTTACAGGAAAGAGAAGAAATAATAGGGGCGCTGAAGGAAGAAAACGAACGGCTACTTGCAAAGTTCCAGTGCACGGAAGAACCTAAAACAAACTCTGGATTATCATTTGATAACTAATAAAATAAAATAATAAATATTTAACTATTTTAACGTCCGTTTTATTGGGGAAAAATCACCACTGCCAAATTAACAGTAGACCCGTATCATATCATCCTTTTTCGGGAAAACGGGTTTGGGGAACACGGTGTTTTTTTGTGTGGACTGTGGAGCCGTGTGCCTCCTCCACATTATTTTTAAAATGTGGTTGAGCATAACCCTTCTATCGAGTAAATAGTCCGTACTGATAAAGAATGGGATTAGAAATGGGGGTTCATCGAGCCCGTACCGTTAACATGCACAGTACCAATAGCGAAAACCCACTAATAACGGTATATCGTTATAACCATATATAGGTACATTAATTTTAAAATTACGTAACTAGCGATCCGCTCTGGCTTCTCCTGGGTGGGATCTATTAATGTGATGTTCTTTAGACTTAAGATTATAACTTAATATTTAATTAAATTTCTAAATTTTTCGGATAAAATTTAGTCTTAGATCACTCCTGGTATTACTCTACCCGTTCGAGCAGCTTTATTACAAACGGATAGGCCATTCCGAAGATAAGCTCGGGCAGACACACACAGTTAAAAATGATTACCATATTTCAGTGACATGTAAATAATTATAAAGAAAACAAAATCAACAATAATTATAAAGAAAACTCTCAGAATACGTCGTAGCTTACAAATTCGCAAAATAGGACGGAATTTTTTTAGTTAAGGGAATTTTTTTATCATTGATTCCAATGATAAGTTGGACTGAAGTTATACAATTTACCGAAAAACACACATCGCAACGTATTTTTTTGCAGTCCACCGGCGGGTGTGAGTATAGTTAGTGATAGTGTGTGAGCGAGAGGTGAATAGAGGGGATGCCATTTTTGAATCCCATTTTAACCGTACGGGTAGTATAATTAAATAACATTTCAAGTTCTCCCCAAGCGGGAAGGGATTAAATAATAAGGTATAGACTGATGTGAATCTGATAAATAGAATAGGGGGCAAATTAATTCCTTTACCTGTTTTAAACCCATTCCGAGAGAAACGGCGTTCTTTAATTAGAATTATAATTAACGCACTACGAACGACTTCCGATTGCTCACAATATTTATTCTTCCAAGATACATGTAAATCTTAAACAACGTTCTGATTATTCCTTAAAATTGCAGTTAGTTGTTTTTGTCGATTAAGTGTCGTTGTTGTTAATTGTCATGATTTTTTGCACCTTTTTTACAGAAAAGGGGGCAAACGAGCATGCGGCTCACCTGATGGTGACTATCGCCGCCCATGACTCTCCAACTCGTAGATGCATAGACCGCTGCCCGCGGGCCGCATGCGGCCCGCCGGTCGAATACTGGTGGCCCGCCGACAGCAAAAATAATACTCTCGTACATTCGAAAAATTTGAATTATATTCCAGAATAAAACCAAAAAAATATGTTCGAAAAGTAATTTGAATCTCGCGCGCGCGCTATTAAGTACGCTTATCGGTGCGCCGTGCATGCGTTGGTAACAGCGGTCGGTAATGTTCGTGCTGATCTCGGTTAAATTCGTTTTTTGAGGAACCGCCGCGGCCGGCGGCGCAACGACGACGGCTTTTTTTTTTTTGCGCCCGAAGCAAATATGGGCAACCCTCCGGAAAGCGGGGGAGGGAGGTTGGGAATGCTCATAGCATACCACGCAGCCGGCTGCGTGATTATGTGGTGACTTTTACCCACTAAACCCAACCTTTTGGGAATTGGCTTAACGATCTGACTAGAGATCTCTAAGCCGTATACGAACGCGACCCTCCTTGGCAGAAAGGAGAGCGCAAGCGGCGAAAAAGCCGCTTAGAAGAGTGCCTAATTAAGGCAGATTTAGGGATGTGTTATCTAGGCTCGGCCTGAGCCGCCAGGAGGCAGTTCAGGTCAGCCGAAAGCTTGTTGGGGGGGGGGGTCCGAGAGAGAGTTTCTCGGTCTGCGCACACTATAGCGAGTGTGGATAGGGGCTGCATAGGCAGCTGTCTCACGAATGAGATGATTTGGGTGGGACTCTGAGGCTTTGAAAAATCTCTCAGAGAGTGATTTAAGGAACTGCTGGATTGTTGGGAGCTCTAAGTCTCGATGTAGGTCGGCATTACGGACATAATAGGGCGAGTTAGTGGCCCTACGACAGAATAGATTTTGAACTATTTGAAGTTCATTTATAGCTTTGGGCTTAGCATGTGCGAAAATGGGGGCCGCGTAGGTCATGACAGGTCGTATGCAGACCTTATATAGGGTTCGCTTGTTGCGGAGGGACATTTTACTGTGTCTGCCCAACATGCTGTTGAGCCTACCCATGTAAAAACGTGCGGTTCGAGTAACCTTCTTGATATGGGGCTCGAAAGTGAGCCTTGCATCAAGGGTGACGCCTAGGTATTTGGCTTTAGTTTGCTATGGGACAGGGGTTCCTAACATCCTGATTGGCGGAGTGGTGGTGAGACGACGTCGTTTATATTCGAAGCAAATGGCGGAGCTTTTCTCCGGGTTTACGTCGATACGCCATTTTTGGAACCAAGCTCCTAAGTCGCTTACTGACTTTTGGATCTTGTTCCGAATCTGTGGTAGTGAGTTGACTTTAGAGTAAAGGGCTGTGTCATCTGCAAAGAGGGCTAGTTTAACACCATTCGACGGGATAGGGATGTCGTTGGTGAATAGTATGTATAGGAGGGGAGCAAGCACAGAGCCTTGAGGGACACCGGCTTTTATTTGACGGGTAGAGGATAGCGTGCCTTCGTGTCTAAAACGAAAGGTACGATCCTTCAGATAGGAGGCTACAAGGCGAACGAGACGGTCCGAGAGGCCTAAGTCGTACAGTTTGTAGATAAGGCCCTCGTGCCAGAATCTGTCGAATGCCTTGGCAATGTCAAAGACCGTGATGGTTTTTTGACGGTGAGGGTAAAAACCGCTGAGGATGTATTCCACTATGCGGTGAACTTGTTGGGGGCACGAGTGTTTGGCTCGAAACCCGAATTGTTGTGGGATGACAAGAGGGTCGCCGTCTGTGGGAAACAGATGGCGCCTCAAGCGCACGAGAATGACTCGTTCGAAAAGTTTGCCCATGGCCTTGAGGAGGCTGATGGGACGGTGATTGGAGGGGAGGTGGTGAGGTTTGCCTGGCTTGGGAATGCCAATGACAGTTGCCTCTTTCCAAGAGGTGGGAAAGTAACTGAATTCAAAGCAGGCGTTAAAGATAATGGCCAGTAAGGCGATTACCTGCTCCGGGAAGTGTTTGAGGGCTTGGTTGGAAATACCATCCGCACCCGGTGCTTTTTTGGGCTTAAGTCCTTTGATGGTAGATGAAATCTCATCTTTGGACACAGTGATAGGGTCAGAGGCGGTAGGGGGCGAGTTCCTGCGTCGGACCTCGTCCTCCACTAGTTGGATGTGTAAGGGGTCAGTGGGTTGTGAGCTAGGAGAGCATTGAGCGGCCACGCTGTCAGCGAAGCACTCAGCCTTGTCTTCGTCTTCGAAGGCAATGGAGCCGTCGGGACGAGACAGAGGGGGAGTATGGGTTATAGCGTCTATCCGGAGGGCTCTCGCCATCCGGTAGTACGCTGTGTGGGAGGGAGAGATTTTCTCCATGAGATTGCCCTTTTCGTGGTCTCTGTAATCTTGGAGGCGATAACGCAGTTTGCGTTGAAGGCGGTGGGCCGCGAGTCTATATTCGGGAGTGGGATAGTGTGCAGCTCTACGGAGGGCAGCTTTTTTGGCTTTTAACAGGTTGCTAATATCTAAGGGAAGACTAGTTTTAGCAACCGGGACAACTTTTTCATTCTCTTTAAGAGAGGATGTTATAAGTGAGGTGAGATTTTCGACCGCGGTGTCTATTTTCCCCCGTACTGTCGAGGGCGTCGGAAGAAAGGGTTATGGGAGGGTCCGGAGAGTCTATAGCCGAGGCTAGAGACTTCTTGAAGCCCTTCCAGTTGGTGTGGGTTTTGGAAGTGGGAGTTAGAGATGGCTGATGGCCAAGAAGGAGGGATACAGGACGGTGGTCGGATACTAGATCATCGAGAGACTCGATTGCTCTAAGGTTAAGGGAAACTCCTTTAACTAGAGCAAAATCTAGCACATCAGGAGCGTAGGTAACAATGTCGGGATAGTGGGTGGCAGTGAGGGGGCTGTAGACAGTCAGGTCGAGACACTGAGTGATATTGAGCAGCACCCTGCCACTACTAGTAGTAGTACGGCAGGTCCATTCAGTATGCTTGAAGTTAAAGTCTCCAAACATAATGACTGAGTCGCCTAATGCAAGGATGGCTTCGAAATCACTCTTAACGGGGAGGGTTCCGCTAGGGATATAGTAAGAGGCTATAATGACTGACTGGTGTCCAGTCATAGCTAATCTAGTGATAGTGCCTTCCATACTGGTAAGCGACGGAGTAGATATGTGGGAGCAATGAAGGGACTTTTTGTAATAGATGGCAGTACCGCCGCCTTTGCGGTCGGGTCTATCGTTACGTAGAAGTGAATAATTTTTAATAGTAAGGCATTTAGAGACCTTGGAAGACTATGGAAGGGGATGCCGTTTTATTCTATGAAAACTAGAGGTCCCTGTTCTGAGAAGAACAGGGCCTTGGGGGCAAATGGGGAGGACTGACGATCTATTCCCAGAAGCTGGGGTCCCTATGTTCTGAAAAGAACAAGGGCTCGCTCTGAGAAGAGCAAAAGACGATCTTCTAAGAACAGTATATACAACAAATATAACAAGTAACAGTATGACAAAAACAATAACAATAACAGAAAAATTAAAAATAAAACAAAACAAGCGAAGCGCGCTCAAGCCTCCCCGCCGGAGCAAGGGGGCAAGAACGATGCGAAAAACAAAGTGACTCACCAACGGCGTCTGCTTGGCCGGTGTTAGCCGGGGAGAGCGGGGCGCGCGGGCAAGCGGTTGCGCTACCGAAGGGTCGGAGGCGCGAAAGAACTGTATGCACGACCGCTCGGGGGCGGCGCGCAAACGGAACTGGACGACGACGGCAGCGCGGTGGCGGCTTATCCACGGGTTATATTGTTAGAGCAAGCGAGATAGCAATAGTCCCGAATTCCCGATTGCTCGTGTAGGTAGATACACGAAGCTTCCAGAGTCGGTTTCGTGGTTTCTCCAGACAGTTTTCGACTCTATACGCGCGGTATAAAAGCCACGCTAACCGCAGCGACCTACAGTTCGCTTTTAATTTGAGTGAAGTGTCAATAGTTCTAGTCTTCTAGTGTAGCTTTTAACTCAACTAGCCGATGTCATATATTTTGATCCACATTCAACGTAGATTTCCCGTCAAGTGCCGTGTATAATTGTGTTGTGAAATCGTAAGTAAAACTCTGTTATAAGTGTTTCCCTACCTATTTAATCAATTATTTTTGGTACTATAAAAAATGATAGGTAATTTAAGTAGGTACTGTAATTGTTTTTAGGTGCTGTGTTAATACTAGCCAGGATTAGAACGCAACATGGACAAGCCAGGACCTAGTAAAAAACGTAAGGTTAAAGATGAAAATCGGCAGTTTCAAGAAATTTTGACTGAGAAATACTTTTTTGTATGGTCGCATAACAAAGTCGTGTGTTTAATTCGCAAGAATTCTGTTGCGATTGCAAAGGAATATAATGTAAAAAGGCACTATGAAACGCAGCATCCTACTTTTACCAAGTTTACAGGCGAATTAAGAAAGCATAAAATGTTGTCTTTAAAACGGGAGCTTATTGGTCAGCAAGCTATGTTTACAAAACCCATTCAATATTCAGAAACAGCTACAGAAGTTAGTTATGAAATTTTTCGAATGATAGCAAAGCGAAGTCGCCCCTTCAATGATGGGGATTTTGTAAAAGAATGCATAGAAATTTCCGCTAATTTTCCTTGATAACATCGAAAGCGAATATGGACATTTACTGTATTATACAGAAGTAAGGTGGCTAAGTCGTGGATTGACACTGGGACGATTTCTAAATTTAATAGAAGAAATTGGAATATTTCTGGCGGAAAAGCAAAGGGATGTCCCGGAACTTAAAAATCCTGATTGGTTGTGTGATTTGGCTTTTTTAGTTGATATTACAAATACAAAAAATCAACTGATATCCCAGTTCTACGCTCATGTATCATCCTTTCAATTCAAGCTGACATTTTCAGATCGCAATTGAATTCTGGAAATTAGAATCATTTTCCGAATTATAAGAAAATGGCTGAAAAATTCAACAAAACTGCGATTAATTTCATTTATGCAGAAAAGCTAGATATTTTGATTCAATCTTTCAAGACAGATTTTCGGAGTTTAAAAAAGTGAAACTTCTGTTGGACATATTCATCAATCCTTTCACGATTTCAGTTGAAAATGCGCCATAGTCAATGCAGTTAGAAATTATCGACATTCAAAACGACCAAGATTTATGCAACAAATTCAACGAAGGAGACTTGCTGAACTTTGACTGCTGCAGTGATAAAAATACGTGCAAAGAGTTGCGCATAAACGCTCTGAAATGTGCCAGCTTATTTGGTTCTACCTATATATGTGAACAAAGGCAAATCTTTTCAATACTAAATGATAATAAAACAAAAAATTGAAACCGCCTTGCAAATGAAAGTTTGGAAGCAGTTTTACGTGTTGCTACAAGTAAATTTGAGCCAATATAAAAGAGATTGTAAGCACTATGCAGTGCCACACTTCAAATTAATAAATCCTTTTTCAATTTTAACACATTATTATCAATTCTCTATTGTGTTTAATTACCTATACTTCTGGCGGCCCGCCATCAGTTCATAATTACCTATACTCTGGCGGCCCGCCATCAATTCATAATTACCTATACTTCTGGGTCCCGCCATCAGTTCATAATTACCTATACTTCTGGCGGCCCGCCATCAGTTCATAATTACCTATACTTCTGGCGGTCCGCCAACAGTTCATAATTACTATACTTCTGGCGGCCCGCCATCAGTTCATAATTACCTATACTCTGGCGGCCCGCCATCAGTTCATAATTACCTATACTTCTGGCGGCCCGCCATCAGTTCATAATTACCTATACTTCCTGGCGGCCCGCCATCAGTTCATAATTACCTATACTCCTGGCGGCCCGCCATCAGTTCATAATTACCTATACTTCTGGCGGGCCGCCATCAGTTCATAATTACCTATACTTCTGGCGGCCCGCCATCAGTTCATAATTACTTATACTTCTGACGGCCCGCCATCAGTTCATAATTACCTATACTTCTGGCGGCCCGCCATCAGTTCATAATTACCTATACTTCTGGCGGCCCGCCATCAGTTCATAATTACCTATACTCCTGGCGGCCCGCCATCAGTTCATAATTACCTATACTTCTGGCGGCCCGCCATCAGTTCATAATTACCTATACTCCTGGCGGCCCGCCATCAGTTCATAATTACCTATACTTCTGGCGGCCCGCCATCAGTTCATAATTACTTATACTTCTGGCGGCCCGCCATCAGTTCAAAATTACCTATACTTCTGGCGGCCCGCCATCAGTTCATAATTACCTATACTCTGGCGGCCCGCCATCAGTTCATAATTACTTATACTTCTGGCGGCCCGCCATCAGTTCAAAATTACCTATACTTCTGGCGGCCCGCCATCAGTTCATAATTACCTATACTCTGGCGGCCCGCCATCAGTTCATAATTTGCCCGAGTGGCCCCTAGTCTTAATAAGTCTGTGCATCACTGCTCTAACTCAACTGAATTTAAGGCGATTGTCCAGAAAGGAATCGATCGATTTCTGATGTGGGATTATAATCTTGGTTCCACTATTTGTTTTATTAATGGCAAGTGATAAAATTAGAAAAAACACATAATAAAAAATATTTTACTTTAATAAATGCATATACATACAGTCAATAGAACAAAAAAAAACTTCTGACTACAGAGCTAGAAGTGCATTCGTATGCAGATCAAACTTAATGAAAACTTACACCATTCCGACAAATATTATATGTTAGCCAAATAAGTAATGCATAACCGTCACCTAATCAATACTACTTAAAAATATGGAATTCTAAAGCCGCAATTTATTAAAAGGTATTAAAACATTAAATAAGTATTTCATTCATTTAACCAAATGAATAAGGTCAAAATTGTTGCACTATTATTACCATACATATTGCATTCTTTCGCTACATCAAGCATCTTCCTCAGCAGTAACTGTTTAAAGAATGAAAGGCAATATGGCTTTACGCTCTTTCGGGTAATCGGGGAATTCCTTCTTGTAGTTACGATGTTTGTTGAGAGCCCAAACCGTCATCTGGTACATTCCAACAACAGCAAATATACCGACTGAAAAATAATTATAGAAATTATTTATTATCTGATGATTATGTATGTTACATATTGTACACGACAAAAACAGGTTGTTTCTGTAGTAATTTTAGAGACTTGCAAATGAAATTTGACCGTGTTATTTTTTTAAATTACTTTCAAAAATAATAAGGTCTCTTGTGAAAGGCACGTAATAAGTATAATAAAATCCACAAGGGCAACATGTACATTGGAGTTCGATTGACTTTTTCAACAACTTGTGAATAATTCAATTATGGTTAACTAACTGACTATAGTATAATTTACACTCTGACCTTGTAGCCAAAAAGAATACAAACTAAATATAATGATAAAATATGTAGGTATTTGAGGTAGGTAACGAACTTAATTCCACACAGCTATTTTAATGAGGTTGTAACTTTGATCGTCTTTATACATGTTTTTACTGTGTATAACTACAAAATAATTGTATTATATGCAGTATGGCAGTGCCTTTGCGTATTAAACTAGGGGAACGTTTACCAGACGGACAACTCGCTGAATAACTCACGGAGTTATTCGTGGACGAGTGCAACGCGTTTACATATTCGACTATATTCATTCAACGTTGATCTTTTATATACGGATGACGTCAGTATCGCTCCTACGCCTTTGTGTCTACATAATTTTTATAGACTTAGAAATATTTTAAATGAAAAAAGAAGAAAAGACGGCAACGAAGTCGATGTATGATCATCGATCACTGTCCACCGCAGCCGAAACGGAGTTTCGCTCTTGTGAAATTTTTAATTTGATCTGAACCGAGTACCAACTCATATTTTTATTTAATTTTTTAAAAACAAATTACCATTAACCGTCATAAATGATAACGCATGGTAATATATTAATTTCACTGGTCAACTAAATAATGACGAGTATGTAAACACCGATATGAATATACACAAACAATCATTTGATTCGCGCTAAAAAAACCGACGTCGAATGAAGAACAGGAGTACTCAACTCACTTGGGCCTAGTAGCTAGTCCACCCGAACAAGCAGTTTACATGTTCATACTCGTGCCTAGTCGTTTGTGCTCGGCGAGTATCGAAACGTACCATGTTCATTTTTTTTTGAAAATATATTAACGAAAATTTCACTTATATCTTATTTAAACAGTCACCATTGGCAACGTTACCAAATTGAAACCCGTCAAATTTAACTTGAGACTTTGCTCGGATGACGTAAACGCATCGTAATACATAACTGCAAAAAAAGTATTGATCGAATACTATCGAGTATCGATTCAACGTTTAAAAACATATACCTATTACTTTATTTATTTAAATCTAAAAAACTTTACATTAAAAAGTTTAATATTACAAGAAAAAATCTAAACCAAAAGGATTGGATCGATTGTTAATTTGCCGACAGTACTGACGGTGGTAGCCGACAGTACAGCCGTAAGCAGCATGTTGGTCGAAAGGGGTGAGTGAATTCCGCTCGAGTCCTAAGTTAACTTTGGCAGGATACGGGGAATACAATAATATTTTTATTTTAAATCAACGACAAAGGCCAATAACTTAAACCTTTTTGCATATAAACAATCATTTAATAGCAAGTAATTAAAGGCCGCGTGACAAGCATGCAAGCGATACGTGTGGTTTAAATATACTACTATCTACCGTTAAAAACCTTAATATTCAGACCAAAGAAGTGTCGTTATTACTCACTCATTTAATTTCAAATGTTTCTATCATTTATCTGTATTCGATTTTATACCGCTTCCTACCTGAGTCCACGATATTTTTTCTTGTATGAGACCATTTCTAGAGAATATTCATCATCATCATCACTACAACCCACCAAAAGTCCATTGCTGATAATGGGACTCCTCCATAGATTGCCTACTTGGGGGGAGGGGGGATTTGCCATAGTTGCTAAGTTTGCCAAGTGTGTTGGCAACGGTAGTTTTTTAATAGTTTGTGTTATGAGGAAGATACTTCCGCCCATGTCCTGTTTCAGTTTCCCTCTGACGCTGGATATGAGGTAACAAGCGACAGTAACCTAATGGCAGGGCACGGATCGCGAACTCAAAAAGGTCGTGGGTTCGAATCCGCCATTCGACTACTGACGTGAACCCTCGTAACACAAGCAATTTAAGCTTATCAGGAGTAGTTAAGCGGAATATTAGTAATGTTTATAGCATTGTTAATATTCTTTTAAAAAAAGTAGTAAAAATACTCCTACGCCGCAAATCTAAAGGTTTTAAAGGTTAAAAATGTATAAATAAATTATATCAAACTATTGATACATTGAAAGTGCATAAGTCTTAAAATACAACAGAATTCTGCGTAACATGCCTTTGTTCAATTTTTTGTGATATTTTTATTATTATTTAAATTTTAAGAAACTTTTAAATGCAATGTATTTAATTCTGATGCAGTGGTATCGTTTAATATAATAAAATATTTACCTGGAGCACATTTAGTTAAAATTGTGAAGAAGACCCATGAACCAAATTCGTAAGTGTAGTTAGGACAGGAAACATAATTGAAGAGTAGAGAGAAAGGGTTCCCATCAGGCCTAGGTATGCGTCTCACTTTAGTGCCAGGTGGACGAAGATTTTTCAAAAGCAGGTGAATGCTCAAGTTGCCCAACTCACATAACTGTAAAAAATATTCATATAGAATTAATTTGTTTCCATACTCATAAAGCAATATCGTCACATGACAACTGAGCAGCTACAGGTATAAAACATTGGACTTTGTTATCATAAGGTCATGAACGTAATGTAAAGTACCTACAGTGTTGGTACAACAACGGGCAAAATGCAAACCATTTCAATGATTAAACTAGTTTATGGGTTTTATTGCGTTTTAATTTTAATTTATTCTAAATTCCTAACATTTCAAGTGCTCGTGAGGGTGAGGAGTTACAGGCAAGATTATCATACCATGTTGTAGACTTTCATGACTTTTTTCTAAGTGAATCGGTTTTGACAATTCTTTTTTATTTGAAAGCTGATGCTCATCATGTGATCCCATATAAATTTGATCAAGATCTGACCAGTAGTTTTTGAGTTATCCTTAATAATGCGTATTTAATTGACTTCGAATACATTGGATGATGTTCTCATTTTATTAATATTGAAGTCGGTTGTACAAAATTTTTAGTTTTACTACTTGTATAGTAAAGGTAAGGAGGTGTGGGGGTTTATTAGCTCAAGAACTGTAATTTAATTATTCATGAAATTGAGGATTCTAGGTAGGTATTCACGGAGCCTTTATTGAGTATGCAAAAAATGTTAGTAAGTGCTGAGGTGAAATAATTTTTGAATTATTGAAGATTCGAAAGTAGTAACACTTTTCTTTTTCTAATTACTTATGCCAGAAAATTATTTGAGAGAACCTACAGCAGAGAGAGAGCAACTGTTAGGCATTACTTATGTTCTTAATTATCTTATTTATAGTTTAAATAATAGAATATTATATATGAATTCATAATAACGTACTACTCAATATTAATATCATATAAAAATAACCATTTTTATAACAGTGGTTTCAGATCAAAATTTCCAGAACGGAAGCGGGCAAAACCAACAGTTGGTGCGATCATTTGTAGTATTCGCTCCGTAAACGTCGTTGATATTGCCACGTTGTTGCTCATATTCCATAATTACTCGAATTTTTAATGTAACCATAATGACGACTAACATTCAAGTGCGATGAAAGCACAATGCTAACATTGACTTATATATTACTAGCGTAAGGACCGGGCCGACCGAACAACTAAAACGGACCAGTAAGGTAAAATTTGGTTTTGGTTTTGCGTAAATCGGACCAAAAATTAATATTCAAAAACTGAAGGTAGCCGGACTAACTATGACATTGGGACGTCAAACATCTCAGTCCCCCCCCCGTGACCATGGGTGCTGTAAAGCACCCCAAACGTCGGGAATTAAAAATAAGTAAAAGTAATGAAATTAACGCGATAAAATCCGTAAATTTAGTTTTATTTAATTCTAATTTTATTAAAAAAAAACGCGGTACTCATGTACAATACAGAAATTCTCGATATCGTAGTGTTAATATTAAAATTTAAAAAGACCCAATAATACAAGTCGACCTTTAGGTAAAATGATGGTATTTTCGCTTAGTATTATTACGATACTATGTACTACAAACTATGAAATAATGGTACAATTAGGATAATTATACTACGAAATCCGACCCTGGTTACGTCTTGTTTTGATATTAATGATAGATTCCCTACTTTTTCTTGTATGAAAAAGTTGAGTAAAATATTTAGATGGGCCTATCCTTCCTTTTGAAATCATTAAATGCTAATCAATAATCAAATAACTAATTTTGGAAAAAGAATTCAATGTTTATTTTTAAAAAAAATTGAAATTAGAATTCTTAGCCAAACAATTATTATTTTGATTTGAAATGGCCATTACTTCAGAATGGCTTTTTCATAGATAAAAACCTATTATACTCTTTATAATATGCAAGTACTGTTTAAAAATTATAGCCTATATATGTCCCACTCCTGGGCACAGGCCTCAATTCATTTCTGAGAGGGGAAAAAGTACTGTTTTATAACATATTTTTTTATACTTAATTAAAATAGTCAGAATTGTATTCTTAATATTTTTAAGAAATAATTAAATAATTAGTGGACAATACTCACAACGAAACCTGCAAGACCAACGTACACACAAGTGCTGCAAGGCGCAGTGTAGAGAGGATGGTTTATGTGGTATGCAATGTATAATGCAAACAACCAGTAATATGTACAGTTCTTGAACAAATTACGAAGTGGCATAGTACCATGTGAGAAACGGTGGACAAACACTGTCTCTAAAAGCCGCTTTGCATAATGAAAAGTCCAACAAACTGCTGCTATGCTAAAACAAAAATAATAATTTCAAATGTTAGAATATGACAATGCGATTCCACAGTGGAAAAGTGTTTTGATGATTCACTGCAATTTCTATCACTTTTAAATTATTAGAGAACCGGAGACCCTTTTTACGGGAAACGACGCATTCCATCTTAGTCCTCACGGGTGACAACGCATCTGAATTTTGATTCTTAATCAAGGATAGATGTGTATGTCTATGGGCCACAACAACCACTTACCATCAGGTTGACTGTGTGCTCGTTTGTCACCCCATACTAAAAAAAAATAAAACCTACAAATATTTGCTTAAGGCTTAAGGTATTAGCCACACAGTACATCTGGATATCTACCGATTCCAGAAAATATAGCCAGTTTAAATTATATTAGTGATTAAGGGAGTACATTAGCAGCAATCAAATGCAAGTGCCTTAGTGTCACTCCAAACAAATATAAGTGATTTCTTTTTTTTTTTTTTTTTGGTTTTTGTAGAAAGACGAGAAACATCATATTAAAGCAAATATCTTAAACATGATATCTTAGTAATCACACGATTTTATGCACATCATTTTCATCAGATTTTTTCTTCATATTTTTCCATAACACATTTTTTAATTATATACCTACATATTTTATACGTGGTAGAGCAATGCTGCAGTTATATTAGTAGTATAGTTGTAGCATGAATGGGTCGGCTCGACCGGGGAAGGACCACGCTCTCACAGAATACCCGCGTAAAATAGTAGCATAATACTGCTGTGTTTCTTATGGTGAGTGTTGAGAACTGGAGACCCTTTTTACTGGAAACGAGGCATTCCATCTTAGTCCTCACGGGTGACAACGCATCTGCATTTTGATTTGTACATTATATATATATATATATATATATATATATATATATATATATATATATATATATATATATATACACACACATCACAATATTGATTCTACGTCCTTTCATTCGCATTATTGTAGCGTCCACCACTTGTAGGCAATTTTTATACATTATGACAGCGAATATTGGTCCATTAAACAATTTCAAAGAGAGTGTTTAACTCATTTCTTTGAAAATTTACCATATGCCATTATACAAATATTCGTATATTGCCAGACGGAGGGAAACCAATCAGGACTCCCTTCCATATTACAAATTATCCAGAATCCCCGTAATATACATAATTTTTAATTCATTCTCCTGCTTAACGCAATTCCTTTGTATGGTGCGACGTTGCCACTCTTATTAGTTATTCCGCTTTGTAATATTTTATTTATAGTAGGTGATATTTTGTTTATGTAGGTATTCGATAGATTCCTATAGTCTGTTTTTTTCGCAGGAGACAAAAATAACAGATCTTTATTAACGTGGTGGCGCCGGTAATGGACATGGCACCAATAATGGACGAAAAAAACTTATCAACCTTATAATAAGGGTAGAAATGGTTTTCTAGAAATGGCAGCACTTTAGACATAGACAGCCAACATCCCTCTGTCATATTGACAGAGAAAATTAATTTCGGCCATTTTGTTTCAAAATGGCGAGTTGAAGAAATTGTGCTCTGGAGTTTTTCAAATTTTATCCGGATTTCTTAAAGGAATCGTTAAGCAGGTTAGTCATTGTTTTTGTTCACAATGTCCTTTTTTTAGATAGATATATGGACACGCTTTGATTTTATGTTTATCTTATAGTATTAGGCATATATTCGAGAAAGAGGTTATGTCACTCGATAATTTAAAAGTATTTTAGGGGGGTGTCCATTACTGGATCCATTAATGGACATAAAACACATTTATGGACACGTGTCCATGGTTATTTAATTGTACTGAAGAGTAAATTATAAATAGTATTACCTCTTGAACATCGCCTGATATCATATGTCTTTAAAAAATAATAATCAAAGCACGTTTACCAATAATGGACACCATGTTATAATTGTATGGTTTTTTGCAATTCATAAGCGCGTGTTACCTTTATTTTTAGTTATATGTATACCTACAGATACATCTTCACACGACCTAGGACCACGCGCTCGTAGATTGTAAGAACTATCTAATTTGATTTCTTGTTTGGTTAGATGGCGCCTAAAAAAGATTATAAGCCTGAACAAATGGCTCACGCCATTGAGGCAGTGCGAAAGGAAGGACAATCAGTATCTGCAGCAGCTAAGCGATTTGGAGTGCCGAGAATTACTCTCCACAATAAAATCTCCGGTAAGAGCCCCATGGTATGCACTATGGGGCCTAGTACAGTCTTGACAACAGTAGAAGAAGATTTGCTTGTGAAATGGGCAATAGCAAGTGCCGAAAGACGATTTCCTATCACTAGAGAACAACTTTTAGATAGCGTCCAGCGAATAGTTACGGTGCAACGTAAATCTACTCCTTTTACAGCAAACAGGCCAGGGAAGAAATGGTTTTCTTCTTTTATTAAAAGACATCCGATATTAGCAGAAAGAACGGCCGAAAACCTCAGTGCAGCACGCAATGAAGTGACAGAAGAGCAAATAAACAACTGGTTCAAAGAAGTGGATGAATATTTGGCCGAAAAGGGATTGCTTGAAGCTCTGAAAGAGCCAAGCCGAGTTTTTAATGCAGATGAGAGCGCCTTTTTTCTTGCGCCAAAACCTGGACGAGTGCTTGTTAGACGAGGGGAAAAGCATGTTTATGCGGCAAGTGGCGATGAAAAAGAAAATTTAACCGTCTTGTTGACTGCAAATGCTGCGGGTACACTAGCACCACCCATGATTGTTTTCGCCTATGATCGAGTCCCGGACAGAATTTCTAGCAGTGTGCCAGGAGAATGGGGCATAGGAAAGTCGGAGACCGGTTGGATGACTGGTGAGACCTTCTACGAGTTTGTGACTACAATTTTTAATCCTTGGCTGATTGTAAAAGGCATCCAGAAACCAATTTTGTTTTTTGTGGATGGTCATAGATCGCATCTTACACTTCATCTGTCCAAGTTCTGCTCTGAAAATGACATAGAAATTATAGCCTTGTACCCTAACTCGACCCACATTCTGCAGCCTATGGACATATCTCTTTTCAGACCGCTGAAAGTATATTATCGTAAAGCAGTTATCCAGTGGAAAATGGAAAATTCGGGAAACAAGTTGAAAAAGGAAAACTTTGCTCCCGTCTTTCAAAAAGCGTTAAAGAATATAACGACGGACTGCATTAAAAATGGATTTAGGGGCGGTGGTCTGCATCCATATGGTCCACAATATATTGATATGTCAAAACTCACAAAGCGGAATACTGTTTCTGATCTAGCAAATGAAAACCAAAATGAAGAAAGAAGCCATTTTTTACAATTTTTAGAAACCGAAATTACAAAACATTTTGGTCAAGAAAAGTTAGACCTATTTAACAGTCTTTATTATGAAGGAAGAAATGTTCTCGAAAACATGGCATTAGATGAAGATTTGAATCTCTATATAGTGTGGGCACACAACAAGCAAATGTCAATTTCGCTAGAATCTAATTCCGCACCTGCTGCATTAAATAGGGAATCTTCACCGACTTCAGATAACGTATTATATAATAACATGTGTATTATGCAAGAAAATGTTATGCCAACAGACTTCGATGACAACGGCAAAGTAAGCAGTGCACTTGATCTCATAGCACCGTCAACCAGTGCACTAGATGGTGTCTCTGAAACAGTGGCATTCATACCAACGCCAAATACGCCATCAAAAGTTGATGAAGCCATATCTGATGCGAAATCCCATAATGATACAACAAGCGATATTCTGGGTAGCACAGTGCCATCAGTGTCAGAAATGCCGTCTCAAGAGACTGAAAAAATACCTATCGAAGACACAAGGGTAACGATAGGTAGTACAGTGACTTCTTCAATCGAAATTACAACGTCAGATACGTTAGCCAGGGTTGATGGATCCCTTTCTTTGGCTGCAAAAACTCCTGCAAAAAACACAATAAGTAATGCGCTAGGTGTCACAGTTCCATCGCCATTCAAAAAATGTCTTTTCTGGCCTGACAATGAAAGTACTAAGAAAACTAAGAAGAAAAAAGAAAAATTACCATCAGCTGTAACGAGCAAAGCATGGCAAGAATACCATGAAAAAAAAGCCGCCGAAAAAAAAAGAATTTTAGAAGAAAAGGAATTGAAAGCTAAGCAGAGAATCGAGAAAAAAAAATATCAAAGAAAAACTTGCCAAGGAAAAGAAGGGTAAAACAAAATCTAAAAAACCAAAGATGCCTGAAATATCATCATCTGAAGATACAGAAGCTGAAATAGAATATATTGAAAGTGGCGAAAGCGAATGGAACGAAGAGACTGAATCAAATACCTATCAAGGAGAAATACTGGAAAAACAAAATGAACGTAAAGCAATGGATAAAAAGAAGATTTCAGTACAAAGGAAGAGAAAACGATCTATTACGGAAGATAGTAATTCTGAATCAGAGTTGCCTTTGACTCAAATAGCACATTCTAATAAAGTTAAAAATGCTAAAAAGGATATCAACAAGGGTTCTTTTGTCATCATTATGTATGAGGGTGAATATTTCCCCGGAAAGATTGAAAATAAGGAACGAGGTCTCTTTGAAATAAGTACAATGGTACTTTCTAATGGGAACACTTTTAGGTGGCCAGAAAGGCCAGATAAAATTTGGTATAAAACTACTGATATAGTCGAAGTTATAAATCCTCCTATCAAACATAATAACAGAGGCTTTTACAAAGTACCAGAAATGGAGAAGTTTTTGCCTGACATTTATATGACCTAGATTTTAAGACTGTGGATTTAAAGATTTTTATTTCATTTATTTTTTAGTCTATTGTTTGATGGGAATTTTGCCTAACATATAAATGTCCTGGATTTTGAGACTTATTAGAATAAGATTTTTCTATTTATATTTAGTGTATATTTTTTTAACCCGTTTTTCTAATTAATGGGTAAAACAGGGTTAAATTTGATCTCTCAAGTTGTGATTATTAAATAAGGTGGTTATTATAAAGAAAAAGAATAAAGACTGTGTAGTATGTAAGAGTAGACACCTAAGTTGTTAACTGCTCTTTTGAGACTTCTATTTACAAGAATACCTCAAGCTTTTTTTGACCCTAATAAGTAAAATGTTTCTGCTGTAGTTGCTTTAACTTGATTTGTTATTTTGATTTGTGATAAATAAATAATAGTACTTTTTAATTTGCAAAACTGTTTTTTATAAAGTTGAGGTTTCCTTCTTATATTTGTTAATAAACTTTAAAATTTTTCAAAGAATTTCATTTTAAACTGGTGAATTTAATAACCTTCCAACATTGGGTGTCCATCATGGGATACATGTCCAACATTGAGTATCCATCACTGGAGAAGTGCCGTCCATAAATGGAGTTTTTGTGCCTTTTTGAGTTTTTCTTTATTTCATCAGAAACAATAACACTATATAAATTATATATGTACGTGTAATAAAGCATGTTTATTGGTCTACAATTTGATAATAGTCATAACATTGTATCTTTGCAAATAGATGAATAGTGATTAAAAATGTAAGACCAAATTCTTAAACTGTCCATAATTGGTGCCTTCACGTTAGATTCGTTTAACACGAATAATACAGTTTTTATGATTCTGGTTAGATTTAATTTTAGTCACTTAAGTTTCGTATATTGTTCAAAATAATGAAATAAATCCAGAGAATGTGCAGTTACGAAAAATACGCAATATCATTTTTGTCTCCGGCGAAAAAAAAAAGATAGATATCATGATTAATTTACCAACTAGTTATTCGTTTACTAAATACGAAAAAATATCTAGGATTGCCCAGCCGTGATACATTATAGATTGACTATATTATTATTTATTTTACTACCTATTGTAAATAAGTACTAATTGTAGATATTGACAGGTGTAATAGAAGTTCATTTTCTTATATTGTGACTAGTAACCTAATATGACCTTGGCAAGAAACTCATTTTAATAGAAGGTTTTACTGCATTAACTGCCAATGGGTTGTTAATTTCTACAATAGACCGTGGCGTATTGTTACTGACATGAATAACTCCGAAAATATAATTTATTTACTTGATCGTATTGAGTTTTGGTGCTCCCACTGCGAGTTTACTTTTTATGATCACTATCTTAAGGATGAGTGCGAACTATTTACCTAATCTGTACAAAATTACTCTCTACTTAACTAGATTCATTTTTGTGAAAGACTATTTTTGTTAAATTATGATATTATGTTTGGTTTGTGTTGTTGTTATAAATATTGGACGCTATATTACTAAAAACGTGCATATCGTGCTCTAATTGGCGTCCGTATTGTGACTTACGCACATTGAGAACTTTTCACGCTTATGCTTGCTTGCATTTAAGTTTCTTTGGTTATATTTAGTAACTTAGGTAAATAAACTTGTGTAAGTTGATTAATGTACTTGACATGGATATTGAACGGAGTATTTACCCATATACGGACGTAAGAATATCCTAAAATATTCACACTAAGTTTTATTTGACGTCCACTTCTTCGATATCCGATGTCCAAAGTTGTTGTTGATTATTGCATTTTACTATTTATTTATGTTGATTATTTATTTAGTGCTCAAGGCATATTTTGGTATTTTTTGTCGGTTTATACTGTACTCAGTGCTAGTAGATAATTTTACTTTCCAATTTGTTTTCGTGTCCTTAGATTTAGCTACATATACTTAATAATAGGGACGTCCGAATATCCTAAAAAATTCATACTGAATGATATTTGACGTCCATATTTTGAATTTTGTTATATTTCTATATGTGGACGTCATATTATCGGTAAAGTTTAATACCGCACGATATTTGACGTCCATATAACCATGAATACATTTATATTTTAATTCCTTGTGTATAAGACACACATTAAATGATCATTGCTTTAATGACATTTTTCGCTATTGTTTTATTCGTATTTTAGTGTAGGGATGCGGTGTAAAATACTCACTTTGGTTTATATATATATATATATATATATATATATATATATATATATATATATATATATATATATATATATATATATATATATATATATTAAATTGTATTTCAATTAACTGCAAAACCAAACATAATATCATAATTTAACAAAATTGGGTTTCACAAAAATGAATCTAGTTAAGTAGAGAGTAATTTCGTACAGATTAGGTACAATAGTCGCACTCATCCTTAAGATGCAGTGAGAGCACCAAAACTCAACACGATCAAGTAAATAAATTATATTTTCGGAGTTATGTCAGCAACAATATGCCACGGTCTATTATAGAAATTAACAACCTATTGGCAGTTAATGCAGTAAAACCTTATATTAAAATGAGTTTCTTCGCCAGACCATATTAGGTTATTAGTCAGAGGTTATTAGTCACAATATAATAAAACAAACTTCTATGAAACCTGTCAATATCTAAAATTGAGTCCATCTTCCTGTACTCAATCAGAAGGTAACTTATACTCAAACAGAATTATGGGTTGCTTACGAAATACCTAACAAGAGTTCTTTTAGGTAGATTAGTACCAAATGTAAAATGTTAAAATATAGTGAAGCATGAAATAAACCGATAAGCCGACGTCCGCATCTTAAACATTCCGCATCTCAGACATTTATAAAAATATAACTAAATTCAAAAATACGGGTGTCAAATATCATTCAGTATGAAAGTTTTAGGATATTCGGACGTCCATATTATGTGTAGGTAAATGTAAGGTTAAGAAAACAAGTTTAAAAGTAAAATTACTAGTACCAAGCGCAGTATAAACCATATAATAATGTCCTGCAGACCGAATTACGGTCACGGCGGCCTGCCTCAACGAAGACTAGCCATCGGCGCAGGACAGGATTATAGTGCTCAAGTGTAGGCGCAACCACAGGTGCACTCTCTATTCCCTCATTCTCATAATCCGATGACACGGTAAACCGACACGACCGGAGAGAGATCAGGCGCAGGACCAACGGCTTTACGTGCTTACGAGGCACGGGGGTGATACACCGCCAACTTCCTGACTCCGGGCACATATTGAGAATTTCTTGACAGAAAAATCAATAATTGATTTTTTGGCCCGACCCGGGAGTCGAACCTAGGACCTCACGATCAGCAGTCGCACTACTACAACCACTAGACCAACGAAGCAGTCATTACCATATATCACCAAATACAAGTAACACGTTGGCAACGGCATCGAGCATTTAACCTGAAATAAATGCTCGATGGCGGAAGTCAAATACGGCCATAAATGAAAGTATTCACAAATCGACAGCAGCGCTATTATTTTTGCAACGAAAGTTAGCGGAACTACGTAAATATTCAGTACAGCAAGATTGGAAGAAAAATGACGTCCAATTTTTTTTTAGATTTTGACATTTCTGTGATCAGCGAACATTGCGCTAAGTCTCCTATTTGACGTCCGTATATTGGACGTCGTAAGCAGGTTGACGCCACATTATATGCAAAATTGGCCATAGTGGACGTACAATAAGTTACGGGATGTATATATATATATATATATATATATATATATATATATATATATATATATATACTTATTGCTAATTGCTCCAATTTGGAAGTAGTGGAAAGATAGTAGTACTGAATTTAAGAAAATTTATATACTAGATCATGTCAAAGCCTATGGTTGCTTACGAAATACCTAACAAGAGTTCTTTTAGGTAGATTAGTACCAAATGTAAAATGTTAAAATATAGTGAAGCAAAACATTCCGCATCTCAGACATTTATAAAAATATAACTAAATTCAAAAATACGGGTGTCAAATATCATTCAGTATGAAAGTTTTAGGATATTCGGACGTCCATATTATGTGTAGGTAAATGTAAAGTTAAGAAAACAAGTTTAAAAGTAAAATTACTAGTACCAAAAGCAGTATAAACCATATAATAATGCCCTGCAGACCGAATTACGGTTACGGCGGCCTGCCTCAACGAAGACTAGCCATCAGCGCATGACAGGATTATAGTGCTCAAGTGTAGGCGCAACCACAGGTGCACTCTCTATTCCCTCATTCTCATAATCCGATGACACGGTAAACCGACACGACAGGAGAGAGATCAGGCGCAGGACCAACGGCTTTACGTGCTTACGAGGCACGGTGGTGATACACCGCCAACTTCCTGACTCCGGGCACATATTGAGAATTTCTTGACAGAAAAATCAATAATTGATTTTTTGGCCCGACCCGGGAGTC